AGTGAAATCGAAGTCCGTCTTTCATCGTGACTTCTTCCCTGAACTCACAGCTTCATCAGAGCAGGTAACCTGAGCCTGATGGAGCAGCATAAAGACTAAAGGTTGAACAATAAAGACAATCAGCCTGTTCTTACTCATAATGGAAGCCGATGTCATGATTGCCAACCAGTACAACCAGTTCAGTGTCAGGGGAGTGTCTAAACATTCTGTTGAAGCGGCGCACGTCGTCCTCCCAGTGCTGCAGAGAGAAGAACACAAACACACAGTTGAAGCAGGTTTCAGCTCGGGCCTTTAATAAGACTAAACTCCCCTGGGAAGCTCATGAGAGTTAATGGGATCTCTGTGGGTCACCCAGCAGCCCCCATGGGTGGCTGTCTATGCCGGGTGGCTTTGATTCAGACTCCAGATTCAATTTTGCACCTGCAGGCGCTGAAGTCGTACGCAGGAGACCTTTAATTACATCGGTGCTGTGGGTTTACGTGATGTTTTTCCCACTGATGTGTCTCTAAATGACTCCCTGGTGCTACTTTGAATTAGGGCAGATTGACAGATGCACAAATAGCAAAAAATGGCTGGTTTGAGGTTATTTTATCCATATATTATCTATATTATCCAAGAAGAAGCCTGAACCAATTACTTAAAGGGAACTATTTTTTTGCAACCATAGTTCCTATGTACACAAAACGGTCTGTGAATTATGTTGAGCATCCAGGTTATGACTTCTGTAATGAGACATTGCTGTTGAGTTTTTCAAATATATATTTTTGGTGCTCTGAGCCCCCTTAAGCCGAGTGTCTCATAGTCTCATTATATTGGAGAGAAGGCAGACATCTCAACACCTCCGAACTAGGCAACTCACACCAAAACAATCTAAATCAAAAATATGTATTTTTGATTTTTTTGGGGGTAAACTGTCTGTGATTTCGAGTTTTAAAACGTGAGGATTTTCACTGTTGTCTGTACCAATTAGTCAAGGAAAATAATTGATACATAATGAAAAAATATCTAGCTCCAGACCTTCTTTCGGTATTTCTCTTTCTGAAAATGTAAGGCTTTGAAAAGAAATCCCACAAATTACAGCGGAGATGCCAACCAAGTGTGAAAATGAATGAGGAATCCGACGAGGGGAACATAATAAGATTATTGGAGATGTTACAGTCTGCAAGCTCTATCTCCTGTTTTAATGAGGCTTTCCTCCGTGCAGCACTTGCTCAACACCTCATCTTTCTTCTATCTGACGGATCCCATTTGACGATCCAGTAATAGATGTGTGAGGTTTCCCCGGGGGGACGGATTTTTTCCTGAAGCAGGATGGATGTACCACGGAGGGCTGAGAGGATGCAGGTTGCTGCTGTTGGTGTTTTTCTTCAAAAACAAACCTGCAGCCTCTGGTGCCTGGATGGTACAACATGCTGCTGCTGATGATGACCGGAGAGTACCGGCCTCTGCTCTGCATCCACGTACTGTTCTTCCACCACCACCACCATCATCATAATCATCATCATCATCATCATCATCATCATCATAAGCACTGTGGGGTTTGCAGACAAAGCAAGAAGGGAAAAAGGGAACTCTACGTTACCTTCGGCGAGCTCCACTTGCCTTCGTCGAAGATATCCCCGAGAATAAACACTATTTCGGGCCTGAGCAGCCACAGAGCGGTCTGGAAAGCCCTCTCCATCTGCCATTCCCTGTGCGTTTGGAGACAACAAGTATAAGCGTTATTTGTTGTTTTTGTTTACAGTCCTGCAGAGCTCGGAGCACAGACGGATGGAAAGAGGAAGAGTGATGGATTGCTTACAAAAATAATGCATGAAAATAAATAAAAAGACATTACCTCCTCAGCTTGTCAAACCAGTGTCCTCCGACGGCTCCGAGGAGGTGGGTGTCCGACAGCACCATAGCGCGGACCGTTGAGTCCATCGGCCGGCCGTCAATGCCCTCTCCGCCCCGTGCATGGCTGATCTTCGGCCAGGCGCACTTGAGGATGGTCGGGAAGTAGATCAGATACTCGCAGAAAAAGAAAGCGCCGCCGACCAGAAGAATCAGCACCACCGCAACCATCCATCTGACGCTAAACCTCGGCATTTCTTTGTTATTCGGCGTTCGGGATGCCCTGAACTGGCGCACTGGCGGTGATGGAGCGGTCCATGAGGCATCTTCCCCTCTTCCAGACCCGACTGTTTAGGTCTCCAGCCGCGGGATGCTCATGGCAAGTTGTTCTGAGGCTGCGCTGGATACAGTGAAAAGCTCCGGGGATTCAAAATATGAGATAAAAAGTTAAAATAAAATACCCTCTGCTTGTAGAGAGACAGTCGAGAGGAGCGGCAGCCTGCCGCTGATGCGCAACTGAGTCGCTCCGCTCAGCTTTTAACTGTCAAGCTAGAAACAGCATTTCCTGTGGTCATTTTTCAAAATAAAACTGAAACTACAATACTTTACAATCACATCTATTTGTACAATTAAGTGTTTTCAGGTGAAAGATGTGATGGATGAAGTACGCAGATACTTTACCGAAGTAAAAGTAGCAAAACCACAGTATAAAATTCTGGCAATTAAGTAAGCTATAGCGTTTTCCTTTTATTTCTTCCACCACTTGTTTGGGCCCATTAAAGATGAAACTACATACAACTATAACCTATAGAGCATAAGAGCAATATGTAGAGTGCATCAAAATAATCAAAACTGTAAAATAACATCTGTTGTGAGTGACCAGGGGTTGAGGAAGTATTCAAGTAAAAGTCCTGCATTCAAAATCTTACCTAAAGAACAAAAGTAATAGCATCAAAGTATACTTTAAGTACAAAAAGTAAATTATGCAGAATGGCACATTTTAGAACGATGTATACGTGATGTTAATTATTGGTGTATTAATGTGCAAGCATCGCTAATGTTGCAGGATATTTACAAACATAACGTTTTATGTTTATAAATATTTTTGTTTATCTCACCAAGTACCACTTCTTTTTTTAAACGTGGCAAATTAAACTTAATTAACTTCCGGTATTTTTCTTTCAAACACCTGCTGACTTGACTTGTGTTTGAGGAGAGGTGGAGGAATGTTTGGCAAGAGAGACAAAAGAACACTTGATTTAAAAGTTAATGAGAAGCCAGTTTATCATTCTGTAAACAATACGGCTATTGATAGACCTGATCAATGGTCAGAAAATCTGCCATCCCTCTACACAAACACACAAATACTAACAGATGTAAAGGAGCCAACAATGGGACAAATGAGATTAAGTGATTAAGAGCAGAAATCTAATCAGCAGCTTGTGTGTGCAGCTATGAAACTGCAACCACAGAGGAGTTTGATCCACTCAGGAACCTGCTATAACGAAACTGTTAAACCAGTCGGTTTGCATTCACAAGTCATGCATGCTCCTGTTATGGTCTGCTTATGCATGCAATGAGGGGGCCCCTTTACTCACATCCTGTCTTCACACTGACCCTAAAACATTTGTTGAAACACATGTTCAGTGCAAGATTTGACTCGTGCAGATTGAGGAAACTGTGGGAGTGAAAAGTAGAGCGTTGCAAGAGCAGCACAGAGCGGAAACTGACACATGACAACATGATTTCAGGGGAGAGGCATCTCAGTTTTCAGACATGCGATTTGTTTGTGATCATGAATGATCCCCTTTGTCTCTAGAAACCAAAAAAAGAAGGAGACTCGAATCTCTGCTGCCCTCCAGATGTTCAGCCTGACTTGGCTCCACTCACAACAGTCTTAGAGGACATGAAGAGTATTTGCTTTCGATTGTAAAATGACTTTCAAATGTACAACTTTGTTTTAAAGCCTGTAACTGATTAACAAAGCTGTCCTGTGAGCATAAAGGAGCAAGCACTAATACCAACTAACCCACACCAACGAGTCAAATTCCTAATTTGGAGTGGCTCTTCTTTGAAACAATCAAGAAACACAATTCACACTCTCAAATCCTGCTTTAATTCACCGTCAGGCTCTTAGCTAGCATTGAGGACACTGAGGTAGTGTCCTAAGTAGGTATTCTGGGTCATCAACCCTAGGGGAGCTGAAAATCTATAACAAATTGCACAAAATTTGAGGCTAATGTCAGTTTTTCAGGCACCATTTAGTGCTTTACGTTGCTCACGCATACAGACTCAAAAGCTGGGAGAGGCCAGAGACGGCCTGCTGTAAGTCTATCTGTATATCTGTACGTCTGAATGCAGCGTAATCTTTTGTCTCTCCTCAGGGTCAAACTACACAATCATGAATAAAACATGACCTAAAACAGCTGGGCGCTGTAGCAAATGTTACATTAACTAAATAATAAATAGTGCATTTGTTGGACGCTATTTTTGGCCGTGGATTAAGACACATCGAGGTGTTGTTGATGTTGTTTTTGGACAACATATGGCAGAGAGGAATAAGATGAATCCGACCACATAAAGGATACTTGGACCGGTGAATCATTGACAAAAAGTATCACGCTATCATTAACGCAACTCAAGTTTAAATGTCAGGAAAAATGACACTCCGCTCATTTTATAGGGAAGTGGTTAAAGTATCTGCTGGTCCTCTGTGAAACTGTGTCCAAACCAGTTTTGATTGACGTTAACTCTGGATGGTCAGCCTCCAGACTCTCATTATCAGATGTTTGTGCAGTTGTTATGCAGCGTGAGTCAAAAGAGAAGTGTAACTGTAAGCTCCCCTTTCCTGAGACCTGCCAACACTGTTTCACAACAGCGGAATATAAATAAACTCGCCCGTCATTTAAAGGACCGATAAAAAAGAAGAACCAGCAGTTTTTTTTATTTTCTGAGAGTGAGATATTTTGAGTTTAAGCAAATGTATCCAGGTTGCATTTTCTGGCCTTGCAGGGCATCAGAAATGATCTATTATTATATTCTCTGTTAGAATATGTAATTCAATTCAGTGTCTGAATGTGGTTAAGATGAGAAGACTGATACCACTCTGTACGGTAAATATGTAGCCGGGGCCAGCAGCCGGTTAGCTTAGCTTAGCATAAGCTACGTCACTGGAAACAAGGGGAAACAGCTAGCCTGGCTCTGTCCAAAGGTAACTAAATCCTCTGAAGTTCACTATTTAATATGTTGCCTCTAATTTGTTATTCATGGGCTGAACTAATTGCCCAGCAACCAGCTGAGACTCCAGGAAGTTACTGCTTCTGTCAAAGAAATGTTTTGTAACACAAATAACAAAAAATAAATGTATTTCCTAACACAATTCCTTTACAAATGATCAAAATTAGTTTCAATGTTTAAAAAAAGAGCCATGACAAAACTAAAGTCTTTCTATCAGTTTATTAAGACACCTATGTTACAACAGGGTCTCCATATGCACAGTTCTTCTCAATACCCAGGTTGAACCAATTGCCTTTTCCTCCTTTATAGGCACTGGTGACTATTCTTGCCCAGCCGTGTTCTCCCTGAAAACAAAACAAAACAAACATTTTTTACTTTGCATGCAGGAAACCAAAGTCAGTGAAACCACTGGCCTGCAACCTAATGGATAAAAGAAGAACTAGAAAATGCACTTCCTGCTGTTGGAATGCTGAAAGCTGAAATGAATTGCATAAACATTGCTGAAAGTACAGAAACGGGAGACTACCTGTCTGAAAAATGTTGAAGTCCGAAAGCATTTAAACTGCACTGCTGAAAACCCTTCTAGTTGAAATGTCTAACTATGGTGCCTGTAGCTGAAAGTATGAGAAGAAGAAGGCTTTGAAAGTTGAAGTAGTTTGACAGGATTTGAAGATTTTCTCCATAGAGATCCCATTCAAAAAAAATTGCAAAAAGCTTAATAATTCAAAAGTTTAAAGATTACAAATATGAAGTCATATCACCCCTCTCCTGAAAGAGCTGAACATTTTGATATTCGAACGGTTTCTGTAGCTTAAAAAAATTTCAGCGGTAGTGATATTTGTTGTAGTAGCAGTAGAAGTTTTAGTTGTAGTAGAAGTAGTAGTATCAGTAGTCGTAGTAATAGCTGTAATAGTGGTCGTAGTATTTAATATAACAGTAGTAGTATTAGAAGTAGTAGTAATAGTAAAGTCAGTTTTTGAAGAAGCAGTAATAGCAGTAGTAGTAGTACTAGTAGCAGTCGTACTAATAGCTGTAGTAGTATTAGTACTGGTAGTAGCAGCAATAGCAGTAGTAGTAGTAGCAGTTGTAGTATAAGTAATAGTAGTAGTGGTAATAATAGCAGTAGTGGTRGTAATAAYATTGATGGTAGCAGTAATAGCAGTAGTAGTAGTACTAGTAGCAGTCGTACTAATAGCTGTAGTAGTATTAGTACTGGTAGTAGCAGCAATAGCAGTTGTGACGACACAGTAGTAGTAGTAGCAGTTGTAGTATAAGTATTAGTAGTAGTGGTAGTAATAGCAGTAGTGGTAGTAATAATATTGATGGTAGCAGTAATAGCAGTAGTAATAGTAGCAACAGCAAAAGTTGCAGTAGAAGTAGTAGTAGTAGTAGGAGCAGTAGTAGTAGTTGTAATACTAGAAATATTAGCAGCAGTAGTAGTAGTTGTCGCAGTATTAGTAAGAGCATTCATTATTTCAACAAAAAAGCCGAATTTTGAGTTTAATGTTTAAATACAGTTAATCCATGAGGCTTTTATTTTGAAAGAGTGGGACTGGGTGGGGGAGAGGAGACATAATCTTAATGTCTTAATTGTTGGAATGCTTAACAGCATTCCAACAATTAATGACTTGTAAAGTAGTGAGGTGTGCACGTTTTAGCTACAGAGCTGATTCATGTCAGACTGAGGGCAGGCTGTGCAGGCAGGGTGGGAGAGAGAGAGAGAGAGAGAGAGAGAGAGAGAGAGAGAGAGAGAGAGAGAGAGAGAGAGAGAGAGGGAGAAAGAAAGAGAGAGACCAACCCAAAACTCTCCCCAGGAGTTCCTGACGATCCAGTACTCGGTCTCGTCCTCCGCCACACCCCAACCGGCCACAGAGACAATGTGATTCGGCAAAGACAGGGGGTGAAACTCTGAGAAGATCCCTCCAGCGTATTCCTCCAGGCCGCCGGTGGCCATCAGGGCACAACTGAAAGACAGAGTGGAGAGTTTCTGAAATCCTTTGATCTTCTTTTTGTGTTCTTTTCACATTATTAAAATCACTGTTATGTGACGATGAGTCATAGAAAGAGCATTTCTGGGGGTTCAAATCAGGGTGAGGGCAGAACAGAAATTGTTGGAACTTTGAGTGCCAAGTGTCACATGCAGTTTTCTGATCTAAATTACCGTCAGATGTTGTCCCTGTGTTTCCCCCCCATAGGGTTTTTTATTGATATCTGTTTACAGATTTAATATGGACATTATCAGTCCCCCCCCCCCCCACACACACAACTAGACATTTTTTACACTCATTGTCAAACTCACATTTCTCATGTTGTTTTATATTCTTCATGTCAGAATATTAGTAGCCCATACATTAAAAATTTTTTTTACTTAATCTGCGGGTATTAGAAAAGCATTTTACACTCCTGCTGCTACTTTTCTCGAAGGTTTTAAAATGATAAATAATGTATCTACTAATTAAAACTTCACTATCATGGAGAATCGCTGTGAAAAGTTCAGGCTGAATCTCTTTGCTTCACACAGAGTGCGTAGGTGGATGGATAATTAGAAGACGACTGGGGAGGATGACTTACTCTACCTGATGGGCCCATTGGTGTAAATCTCCGCTTTTATCTCGTCTCTTCCAGAAACTTCTCCGTAGTCGCCCACTTTCCACATCGTGTAGTTCGTCACGACGGCACACGATTCGAAGAAGGAGCAGGTGCCACACTGGTTGAACTGCTCACACTCTAAAACAAATGAGATCATCTATAATGATTGCGACACTTACTCCGCAATTCCATACAATCTCCATGAAGTTAAATTTTAAACTTCCAGTATACTGTTACAGTGTGATGTAAATACACAATATCGCAAAAGTGTTTTGTTTGAGACTCAGAGCAGCTGCTTTGAAGCCCAACTGCAACCAACACTTCCCCGATAATATCCCATTCATAATATTTTGTCCACATACTTCTGGCCATATTGTGTAAATTCATCAACAGACAGAATGATCAGAGTAAAAATCGTATATTTTTGTACTTTGGTTCTTGGCCTGGTAGTTGTTGCAGGTTTCATCAGGAATGCCTCTCTCGTGTGCGTAGGCGTAGACTCTCAGGTGATCTCCTCCGTAACACGAGCCCGCCCTCCCACAGTCTATCACGTTCTGGACTGACAGGTAGGCCGACGGCCACGCCCCTCCTCGCTTGATGTTGATACGGTCTTGGAGAAAAGAATGACAATGACGATTGTTCAAATGGTAAAATTCACCTGGGTGGACGCTGCTCTCCATGCTCACGATGCTACAGCTGCCACGCTAACGTGATACTGTAAAGTCCATAAAAACGTCTCAAAATAACACAATATGCATACTGTATTTAACACATCTTACATCAGTCCCAGCTTCTGTCTATCCCTCTATTCCCATCCTGTTTCCTCCCTCCTCCATCCCCACATGGTTACCGGCTAGTGCACTGGTGGCTCCCATGGCCCAGCAGGACCCACAGTACTGGGGGATGTGCTGGTTCCGTGTGACGCTCACATAATTCTTCCCCTCGATGTTCCTCCAGTCCCAGGACGGAGGAAGGTCCGACACCTTCACATACTCATGTGGGCGGGGCCGTGTCCTGAAAAAAGTAAAAAGGATGAGGCTCATATCTAGTTTGTTAATATCCTCAATAGGAATCAGAACAAACCACAGGACTCTTGTAGGAATATAGACACATGGAGTATATCTGTGATCTTATGTAGAAACACATATCACGGAGTTTCAATTTGACCTTTCTGATGCCCCTCCCACTGTCTTGGAGGCTGTCCTGGCCGACCTCAGCAGCCAGTTGGCTGACATGGGAGGGTCGTTAGCTTGATTAGGACAACCTGGGCCTTCAAGGCTGTAGAAGCTGGTCTATGTGCTCGCTCGGCCTCTTCTTTGCTACAGCACATGTCCAACCTGCACGGGCTTTTGTTTGTGCACCTCCACAGCACACGTCCATGCATGGCTTTCATTACTGACTCTGCACACTCCATTGTTTGTTTGGTGGTAACTGCAGTTTCCTTATTTGTGTTAGTATAAGTGTAACTTTGCGTGGACTTCCTCCTTGTCACATTCCCTGAGCCAGTTTGTGACAAACGGGGGCTCGTCCGGGATGCCAACCAATTTCTTTTATTGCAATTGAAGTACTGGTGCTTGTAATTGGGTGAGCATGGTCAAGTCTTGGTTGGTAGAAGCCATGCTTTCAGCCAGCACTTGGCTTGATTTTTATCATCGTATTTGTTCCAGCACTTGTTTCTGCAGGTTAGAAACCTTAAACATACCGTACAGTGGCTGTGTAACGGTGAATCAGAACCCGTTTGTCTAGTCTTGTGTTAACTTGCTCCGAGTCTGTCAAGATGCTTGGGTTCATGGTAAAGTGCAGTTTGGTAGCTGAGGAACTAGAATGCTGATGGAGAGGAAGTCATCTTATCGTTGGTAGGAAATGTCACACCTCATGCATTTTTGATGTAGCAGGTTTCTGCTTTCTGTCTTTGAATGACTGGGTTTGGCTCGTGAGCTTTTTGTTCAGAGGAACTTTAAAGTATGCTACTTTATTTTTGAGCTCATGGTGATTCCAGGTTTGTGTGCATTATGTGGAACTGTGTGAAGAAGCATTGAGTTTGCTTTGTCTAGCTGCAGGTCATGTTACTAGTTAAATATTTCTCACTTTCACGTGTTATTGCAGAAACAGTTCTGTTATTGTCCTTTTTTTTTTTTTTTTTTTTTTTTTAAGAAAATCCTTAACTCTTATTTGTCATGTTACTTTTCACTTCACTATCTTCTCTTTGCTAGTTTCTCATCCTAGAGTTGCTCCCCTAGATCCAAGGTTGGTGAGTTGCTGAGTAAAAAGAACATTTACCTCCAAATGTAGCAGAATAAAGCAAAAAGTAGCCTACATGTAAATCATTCAAGTACAAGCTCCATTGGATTTGTGCTTAGTAACATACAAGTGTTAACCGATTATTATGCTAAAGTTAGGTTCTTAAGACCTAACGTCAAATCTCAACTGATAACCGATAACTTAAACGTTGGTTCAAACAGGAGATAAAAGAGTCCATATAGTTAAACTGTCGGTCAGAATAAAATGTACATATTCTCGTCACTTACTTGACGGAGTCTGGTCTGTCGTCTGTGATGGGTTTATAACAAGGCTCGGATAACAGGCTGGAGGAGCTGATTTGCAAAGAAAAAGAAGCTATGCAAAACAGCAGCGGAACGTTTGTTATTGTAGACGCCATGTTGGATCTCCTTCTTTCTCCCTTATTGCCTTCATGTGACGCACACACAGCGCCCTCTGTTGGCACCTGGGACAACCGCCACTATAACAGTGAATATAGGTGTACTGTATATAGAATTTATTTTTAAAACTGTATTTAACAGCCTACAGAACATAGGTAATACTTATGTAAAAGTAGCAATGCTGTTATGTAGAAATAGTTTAACGAATGAAATTCCTGCATTCAAAGTGCAACTGGAAGAAAGTTTTTAGCATCAAACTATACTTAATGTACCAAAAATTACCCATATGCAGAAACGTTTTACATTAATCTGCTATTTTTTTCCCCAACTATATGGTCTTATAATAATACACCATCAATTATTTGATGGTTACATTTTCATTCATAATTTGACTCTGCAAAGTAACCAGTGACTAAAGCTGTCAAATGTAGTAGAGAAAAAAAAGTGAAAGGTTTCCCCCTCTACATTTTAGTGGCGTAAATGTATAAAGTATAGCAGAAAATGGAAACACTTAATTTAAGGTATCTCAAAATTGTATTTCAGTACAGTAGCCTGTGTTTGAGTATATGTACTTGGTTACTTTCCAACATTGACAGATCATGGGAAAATCAGTAGACCAAAGAAGTCTGCACAAACCATAAAGACCTGTTAGCCACAGGCCTGTAACTAAAGTGTAAAATAAATAAAACTAAGGGTGACAAAAATGTTAATTGTCCTCCACAATGTGCTAAAGAAGTCAGTTTATTAAGAGAACTTTAAAATTAGGAGCGTTGTTCTGAATTTGAATTTTTTTCCTTAAAGATAAATAAGTGTGCTTGCAACTGCTGACTCCTTTGTGCTTTTCACCACACTGATCAATAAATGAATGTCGTCAGACTAAAAACAGGTGTTGGAGCAGTGCAGGTTTTGCACGATCAGCAGGAAACTTTTAAATAACACTCAGTTACAATCACATTAAACCTAATGCAGGGCCTGCTGATTGGTTGCGTTTTTAAGGATATTTTGAAGCTCTTAACAAGGTTAGTATATCTCAGGATGAGGCGCAACTTCAATCACGGTCTGTTTTTGTGAAGAGGAAGCATTATTGTTTGTGCTTTTAATGATTCAACTTGAATCAGATTAGATGTGCATTAGGCACCTAATGAACCCTCAGCAGAAACGCAAGATAAATCACCAGTTATTTGTTGTGATCCATCTTCAGACTGTGATGATGATGGTGCTGAGCACGTCATGTAAAAGCTGTTCAGCAGTAAGAGGAAAGGAGGTTGATGTTAGTGTGAACTGTAGAAGGTGGGCTCTAAAAATGAATTAGCTGCTTCCTGCTGGGTCCCAAATAAGGTTGAACGGGTATAAAGACAAATAGAAAAACTGATATTGTTTTACAGATCATTAAAATCTTTTAGGAATAATGTACAAGTTTCTGAATAAATGTTACACTTTCGGTACATTTGACCAGTTTTATTGTTAAATGATGTTTCTATTATTTAAAATTAAGAATTGTATTGAGATACTTAAAAAGTGTTAGGGGGATAAATTGATCATAGAAGGGAAGGAAAGAAAAATATTGTTCATGTACTGCAATACATTTATTCCAAAGCTTATTCAATAACTGCTAGTTGTTTAAGTTTGCAGAGATTTTACACACAGTTTGATCAGTTCATAAAATAATGCAGTTAACATTTAACACTGTTTGCACATCAGTGCAACAACAATAATTCTCTAGTGTATATCTGGATAGGGAGTTTATTTTTAAGTAAACAAATGAACCAGTGGCTCTTAATATGGTACTTCTTTGCTACTGTTCTTTCCAGCTCCACATGTAACCCACACTGCTGAAAAGAACGCATTCAGGGAAACGTTGAAGGTAATTCTGAGAAATGTAGGAAATCACTGGTTGCAGTACAAGCTGTTGAGAGAGGCTGAGGTAAAGTACGTAAACATAAACAGCACTTCATCACAGAGCAAACACTGAGAAATGACTCTGAACATCGGAAAATTATGATAAATGTGACAGCAAGGACGGGGAGGTTGAGCGTTCCCAGAAGGAGTCGCTAACCTCAAATAATTTATTAGTCTGCATTTAAAGCTTCTGAAAGCGTAACCAAACAAACTTAACCCTGGCTGCTATGAAAAGTTAAGATAATAAAGTAGCAATAACTCTGGGCTGAAGATTATAACTATTTACTAGAACTGAATCTTATATACTTTATTTTCCTCCTCATCAAGTCCCTTGCTGCTTGTTTGACGCCGCCTACTCCTAAGGAGTCCATTGTGTCGTGAAACAACAGATACATGGACCAGAGGAATGAAGTCCCTATGACCTTTGACCTCTTAGGTAATCGCACAAACAGTCCTCAATATTTCACAGCATAAGGTGCCGTCACTCTTTCTGGATGTAAATGTAATGTTTCAAACAACCCAGCGGTAATACAAGAGCTTCCAACATATCTTTATGAGGCTGACATCCTGGATATGTGCATTAACATGAACATCTTCCTGTCTGCTAATGCTGAGGCGATAGAAGCCTTGATGACACCACTAAACAGACGGTCAATCATCAACTAATGAATGCCATTATCCTTCATCAATTCACAATATGAACCAGCTTCTAATGCTGGTTTCTTACATCCAGACAGACATGAAAGTCATGGCAGATAAATTCTCTAAAAGTCACGTGTCACGTCTGTATTCGATGCGGAGACTGCTCTTTGTGATTGGAATGAATCTCAAGTGAGTTTTTAAACTAGCAGCCTGGCTTTTCGGATGGCCATGTCCGTCTGTCCAGACTAAAATATCTTTACAAATACTGGATGAATAGCGGTTAAATGTAAAAACATGCATGCTTCAGAGGGGGAATCACACTGACTTTAGTGATTCCGGACTTTTCCTCAAACACCACGATGAGGATGTGATTTTGAGTGAAATGTCTGAACAACTATTGGATGGATTACAAACATTCATGCCCCCCTCAGGATGGATTGTGACTGATCCGCTGACTTTTCATTTAGCGCCATCATCGGATCAAAATTTAAAGTGCAGTATAGTTGACATGTTTTTTTTTAAGCGTGCAAAGATCGCTGATTAAACCAACAGGATGTTAATTCACATGTTTGCAGTACAAACAATAAACGGTACTTCTATCTAAATTCCAAAAGAGGCGATATGCCCACAGCCACCACAGAAAGACACTAAAAAGCCCACTTAAGCAGACGCAAGTTTAGAGTGCATGGAAAGTGCATCCATGTAAATATTGAATACACACAGAGTTTGGATTTCACTGGCGGATCAATATTGAAGCAATCTGGACGTTAATCTCATTTGCACTTCTGTTTTCTTCTCGGCAAAAAGCTGCTGCAGACTGACAGTGTGGGATCAGTGTGGGAACTTACAAGAAATTCAGCATTCATGAGCATTTTAGGCTGGCAGGGTTTCTGTGACAAACTAGACAGCAAGGACCCTTTTTTGAAAAAATAAATAAATAGAAGATAATAATGAAAGTCTGCTGTTGAGGACTGTGTGATGGAGCTGAAAGCTAATAAATTGACCATCAGTTGAGATTGTTTTGTCAAATGTAAAGTTTAAAGAATGTTTTTTTTCTAAACTTTAGAGAATCGTGTTTGTAAAAGTGCTGCTGTCATTTCATTAACATTGTCTTTTATAAAGGATAATCTACTTGATAAACACTCACCCAAACATGTATGCTATTCATCCAAAAGTATGTAGACATCCACACATTGAACCCATGTGATTGTGAACATCATCTTCTGGTTTCAGGCTTTCCAACAGATTCTGGATCCTAGCTGCAGGGATTTGCTCCCATTGAGCAACTCAAGGTCCAACACTGATGTTGAGTGATAAGGTCTGGTTCTGGGTTGTTCTGGTTCATCCCAAAAGTGTTAGAAGGAGTAGGAGCTGTGTGCAGGCCAGTCAACTTCTTTGGCACCAAACTGTGAAAACCATGTGGACTGGCTTTGAGTACTGGTTATTTGTCATGTTGAAACAGGAAAGGGACTTCCCTAAACTATTGCCACAAAGATGGAGGCCCACGATTGTCTAAACTATATGCTGCAGCATTAAAATGATCTCTTTTTAAAACTCAGGGTCTCATACCCCTTAGTTTCCCCAAAAATGACATGCACTTTTCAACACAATGCCCGTGAAGGCCTCAAAAGGATCCAATATAAAGCAATACAAATAATTCCTGTTGCTGTTATGATAATTCTGACATCAACGTGAGGAAGGTCAGCCAGGAACAACTGACCTGAATGTTCACTAAACCTTCACTGTGTAAAACCGGTGGCCGATTTATCAATAACTCCCCCTTAGAAAGAATCGGATGAATAATGGATCAAAGACAAATGTTACTTAAGATTCACATCCATCTGAGGGATTAGATCAGCAGGTTCCGACTTCAAACAGCAGAAACAAATCAAGGGCTGCCATGTTCTGAGGGTGGGTATTGATCATGGCTGGCTGCAGTTCAAGGCCTCATGAGCGACTCTCTGACTGCTCCCACGCGAGAGTATCCAGGCGGTCTGGATTTCCAGGGGAAAGTGAGTCTTCGGGGCAGAGAGGTTGGCAGCTAGCATGTTGATGATCTCCCAAAGTCAGCCTTTCCCTCAGCAGCATTTAGCTGTTTATTTTTCTTATTTTCATGAACTAAATCCATTTCGGTGATTCGGCCAAACGGTGATTCAACTCATCCCAAGCAGGGCCTTTGCTGCTTTAAGCGTCCTGTTTCTTAGAGGTAGAGGAGGCTCATTTGGCTCGGCCCTGACGACTCCCATCATGCCTCGCTTTCCTCCTGCCTAATGCACTTCAGAGGAACCGGCATGGATCAATCTATCGATATTGTCATTAAACACATCAAATCATGCACAATGGATTGGATTTAATAATATGTTAATGCTCAAGTTACACAACAAGCAAACATGAGGTCAGCGCTCTTTGGTGTGTTCTTGAATGCAGCTTCTGTTAGTTGCTGTAATAATTCACTTTAAGCGGAGTTTTACGTGTTTTTGATATCTGCGAAATAAGGGGAAACCCAGTTACAGTAATATCAACATTTCTATATTCCCTTTGCTTCATTATTTTCAGTTTAAATTTAGTACTGCTCCTTTTATACTCTTTACAACAATCAGGACAAAAACATGATTTTTTTCTGCCTTAAATCAGATCATTTTATAAGTAGGAAAATGAATGTGTCCCAATAGACAAAATAAGCATAAACATATCTGTGACGTTATGCTTACATAAAGCTTTAATAGAAATTGACTTTAGAAATGAGGAAAACATTGAAATTCAGCATAAGTTTGCATATATTTCTTATTTTAAAACTGAGCTTAAGTAAATGTTATGTACAGTACAGTGGAGCCGCCTCAGGCATCTTCCTCGATGGATGGCATTTCACCACATAAAATAACTCAAGACAGGCCAAGGGGTCACCAGAGTAATAAGGATTCATCATTTGGGGGCCATGAACTTCTGTGCAAAAGTTTGTGGCGCCACAAAAACATCAGAGCATCACCAAAGTCATTAGGATTCATCCTCTCTGCACCATGCATGTAACCAATCAGTTTAGACAATTCAGCTTTGGGTGTGTTTGTAGGCATATTTATTAACTTTGGAGGGAGCCAAGCTAACTGATTCCCCTTGCTTTCGGTCTTTATGCTAAGCTAGGCTAATCACCTCCTGGATGCACTAACAGACAACTCTTGGAAAAGAAAGCGAATAGACATATTTAAGTAATGGATAATAATAAGCGAGTTGCTTTTAACAGAAGATACATAAAAAGCAATGCCTCTATATTGTGATGGTCAACATATTGTTCTATAAAGTCCGGAGGTCAGAGGCAGAGCAGGAGCCATGTAGCAGAAGAGCGATTCAGTTTCTTTCTTGCTCAAGGACATTTCAGCGGCTGTCACAGGGATTAAACCTCTGCACGTTATCCCACTGACAACACCACAATGATGCAAATCAACTTACATGTCCACAATATTTTGATGGGCGCACTTGGAAAGTCACAAACAGATCCGAGGCCTGTTGGGGTTGGAGGTTTGAGTCATGATAAATGTCTGTTTACTCAGCATACAACTGGATTAAATGTAATCAGAGAAGATGTTTTTGCTACAATGCTCTTAATTATTTCAAGAACTGAAAACATCTTTGGTAAAAAAAAATATCTTTCCTGCCTGCAAGCAGAAACTGAAAGGCCTGTTTTGCGGTAACAGGGATTAGATTTAAATGGAAGTGCTGCTTTGTGCAGACTGGTTTCAAACCAGTAGGCGTCGCTGTTTCTCACTAATGAACCGCTGGACAGAGGACCTGAAGAGATGATATGATCAGTGAAAGTCTCATGACATTTATAAAACCTTCCTTGGATGATGGTACTTATTTAATGTCCACAGACATACAGATCGAATACAAAAACACCAGATCATATTTTATTGATTATCAAACAAAAGCTGTGTATTTGGGACATGTTATCTTTTAATACTTGTGGTATTTGCATCCACCTCCGCGTCCCACCTCTTGCTTCCAATATTCACAAGGGGCTGGACCGTTTACCAGAAGAAGACTTGTGATTGGTCGAGTCAGGTGTCAATCACAGGCTCGTCCTGTAGCCTCCTGTTGGAGAATACAATCCACACACCAGAAGTCAGAAGTCAAATTTCACCAAGGGGACAGGGAAAGGAAGGGTGAACTACCCGATTATTGTGAGTGTTTCTGTCACGCTTCACAGTTAACAAGTGTTATTCGACTTTCTTGTATTGTAAATGTTCCTCATTAATGTGGGTTTGTAGTTAAAAAAAAGAAAAGAAAGGAGGTTAATTGGACTTGAGGACTTGTTGGCTCATTTCTCCGGCGTTTCCACGCGCTGTGTCAGCGCATCTGTTTGGCGCACCTGAGTCTCAACATGACTCCGATGCATCTGAGCAACTAAACCACCATGGTGACATTACTTACCAGTGACATGTCTGCTGTGGTGAAGCTGGCTAAATGCGCAATTCTTCACTGTGGAATAACCACCGGAGTCCAGGTGTCCTCGGGGAGAGCTGATGTGGCCGTTTGGCGGAGCGCATCAGTTTGATGTCAGCTGCGGTTTGACAGAGCGCAGGAGTTGGGGATGCGAGAGAGACAATCCCCGGCTACTTTTATCCGGATTCAACACGGGCTGCCCGGAGCCATGGCCTCTGAGGTGGTGTGCGGGCTGGTCTTCAGGTTGCTGCTGCCAATGTGTCTTGCAGCTGGTGAGTTACAAAAAAAAATAAAAAATGAATCCACACTTTTTACGCATCTTAATTGGCCCACAGTGCTGTGTGTGCGCCAGGTGGTGTTGGGGGATTGATACATGTATGATACTTTATCTGATATTATCTTATGAATCACTTCATCATTTTTAAATGTAACTTTTAAGGATAGCTGTATTATTTAGAAATTCTCACTTTTCTTTACACTCATGAAAATCGGAGGTACACCAGTACAAACCTGAAGTGTGCAAAATCCTGACGGCAAAAATAAAAAAAAGATTGATATATTTTTTATGATGATTGACCTCATGATGCTGGAGGTCACAGTTTATTCATCACCACTGCTGAGGTACGTGTGTTTACTAAAACTAAGCACAAACAAAAGCAATAGACTGCAGAGAGTCACACATAGCTGTTATATATAAATTAAAAACCAGCTTCTTCACCTGGCTGTCACCTTTTATTGGATTTAGTAAAGGAAACACAGCCGACAACAGAACATCCACTCACTGCCGAAACAACTGTTTGGAATCTCCGCACTCTGTACAGTGTTTATGTCTGTGTGTGTGTATAGAAATGTATGATATAAAAAAAAGAACAGACATATCAAGTGGATGTTTTTCTATTTTCAAAGTTTGAAAAATCTATTTACTGGAATAGTTTATTCTACTCGGAGTAAAAGCAGAAACTGTTAGCTTGCCTATGTGGCTCAAACTGTTAAAATTGCAGTTTAACTGTGTTATGTACATTTTGTTTCCGTCATTTCAAGTGTGGTTTCTGTTTAGCTTTTTGCCAATTAATCCATCATCAGCATTGTTATTGATTGTTTAGCTGCTGACTGGACGTTCACGCCTGTTGTGTTGATACTGTTAATTAACATTTAGATTGCATTGACAGTGTTAAAGCTACATGTCTTGTGTCATTTCACATTCCTCTGAGTTTTAGTCAGTGGTGCATTGGGGTTTTTGGATTGTTTACAGCATCTGTAACTTTGTTAAGAAAGGCGCTCTCCACAGATGAAGTTATTGTTGCTGTGCGAGTGAATGTTTTGTTTGATTCACTCGTTCGCTATGCAGATTTAGAAGATGACTCACTGTCAAACGTGGCAGCTTTATTTGGATTTAAGGGGGACTTTTAGCAGCTTTATACAGGCTGGAAAAGTCTTCGATATTACTAGTTTCTCTGAAGACACACTTAAACGCTAATTTAGAGTTTGTGGGCATGAAGCTCGAGGCCTGATCACACCTCGCAGACTCTATTAAATGCAGTTTACTTTGTGTTTTAAGCTGTAATTCTGTGGTAGGCCGCAAGTGAAAAATGATTAGCATCTAACTGCCACTGAGGTTCCAGTGTGGTGTCTGTGTAAGACTTATGGGGCTGTGGTACTTTTAAAGCTAACAGCATGCTTTCTATAGATAAGACCCACTCAGTACCACCATAATGCATCACTTGACAGCCCGACGGCTCCTTTATTTCCAAAAGCAATTGTGAGGCCACGCATTGTCTCCATTAATTCGTGGAAAGTCGTTTTAACAGTATGAATTAATAATGCGGTTGGGAGGGAGGAAAGAATTGCCTTTCCCTTTTATCGTAAACATACCTTTTAATATTTTATGTTTTTTCAAAGTGCAAATGAGCACTTGTCATTCACTGCAGCTTTGCACTGCAACTGACAGGATGAAGGAAAAGTAGAGTGGAAAGAAGGGAAGGTGTACAGGAACCGACTGCGTTGGGGGATGAGAGAAGTTATTTCTGCCATCAGCATCACCTGATCAGCAGCTTACTTTCCTTCATTGTTTTGTTTGACAGTCAAAGATCTCATCTTAATTTAAACTGAATGGATCTGCTGTAAATCAATAACCGTCAACCCATCAGCTATTGTTTTTTTCTGTATCATTTGTAACATTGTGGCTGGAAGAAAATTGTAGCTTTCATTTCTTTTCTGCCTCTTGCTTTGATCCATATGTTCAGATTTCTGGCTTGCATGCAAATTATTTTTTGACCTCCCAGAACACACTGCAGCAGAACAGATGTTATCTGACTCCAAACATCTGCATTACCCTTACTGTATATGCTCTAGTGTAATACATGTATATGCACAACGTCTCTTTCTCATGTCCTAGTGAAAGACTTATCTGCTGACATAACATAGTCTGTGTTTCCTGTTGGCCATCTGACAGCACCTCTATTGAAAAGCACAGAACTGCTGGGCCCATGTGTACACAGTCTCCTCTACCACCACCGAACACACACACATTTGCACACAGCTACAGTTTAGCTGATCAAACAGGCCGCCGTTTACGTGTTTGGAGTGTGAACATGATTATGTGCTTGCGCTTTCCCAAGTGTCCGATCTATATCAAACTTGTGCTGTGAATGTACAGACGGAGCTGCAGGTCAGATGTGCTGAGTCGGGCCGGTTGCAGCAGGGTAAAGCACTGAAAGCTGGAGCAAACTGAGCTGGGAAGTGACGAGCAGATGCTGGGAGCATCACTGGAATCATGACGTTTTAATCAAGACTTAATAAGGACAAAATAAATGTGTGTGTGGATGTCGTGTTGTTGCCTCACAAATCTTCAGGCAGACAGTTGGCTCCATCATGATGCTCCAGAGGAGAAGTGGTTGTAACAAAAACAATTCCTCTCTACAAACTCAAACAAGCATAAAAAAACTAATTCTAATCATAATTGTATCATTCCTTAGTTCAGTCAGTAAACCAACATGGTGAATGGTGTCGGAGGTAAAAAAAACAAACAACAAAACCAGCAAGCCAGTGATCGTTAGCTAGCTAACAAGTCAGACAATTTATCTTTAAACTTGAATTAAATTGAACTCAAAGCTGCATTTGGTACATGTTTTATTGATTATTCAAGAGATGGAAAATACATTTTCAAGCAAAAAGGCCAAAAATACAGTTTCCAACTCATCAAATGTGAATATCAATACCGCAAATAGATATCAGTTGCAGCCCTGAATATAATTAGCTTCTCCAAGAAGACATGTTTGTTAAACTCAGAATTTAGTTTCAATTTTCTGATGAAAACAGTAAAGTGCTCTAGACTTGATGTGGTATGCTCTTCATTATGCTCTTCAGAGGGGTTTAAATTCCTCTGTTATCGCCCAGTACTCGGTCCGGCCAGGCACCGTGCCACTTTATCTTCTATTATGACATTTATGTCTTTGGGCTCAAACTCTTAAGTCAGCTGGCCCTTATTTCACGTTTAAGACTGACTTGCTTCTCTTGTGTTTAGCCTTTGTGTGGCGGTAATAATAGCTTTTACTGGGAGAGACAAAAGCCTGATTCAGACGTGAATGAGAAGGTTTTGCAGTAATCTGATGTCTGAAAACAACGGCAGTTTATTTTCATTCCCTGTGTAAAAATCCTCAAATGGTGAGTCATACAGCGAAGGCAAATGGTCAGGAAGACTGCGGTCAAGTGTCTGCAGGCAACAGTGGGAGTAGAGTCATGTAGTTACAGATAGATTATCTGTATGGATACAACATTTCTCCTTTAGATTTGAGCAGATGAATAATGTGGGCAGCAGGCTCCGGACTACCAACTTGGCCATGTTTAGAGTTTATTTAATGCGACATTAAATGAAGATAAAAGTGGGTGTGGCTAGAAGTTGTGCTGTGTGTTTGGCCAAAAATTAAAGATTATGAGTCATTCACCCGAGAGGCTTAGTCGTAAAATATACGTCACCAACTTGTTGAAATGTTTAAAAAGGGAACAAAAATGATGAACAATGATAAAGTGCCTTTTTATGTTGTTGTGTTGGTGGGTGGACTGTCTGGCATATCGAGTATTTGTGCATACTTGAAACCTAATCACATTATTGCCACATGTTAGTGGTTTTCTCAAAGATGACTGCCCCCCCCCACACACACACAACATTTATTAACTTTTGTTAGTTTTCATTGGTCCGTATCTGAGCACAGAGAAAACCAGGACGTTTACTGTCGAGCTCCACCAAGGGAAAAGTCAGAGCCAAGTCAAATGTCAATGAAGAGGTCCATTGAGTGAGCAAAGATAAATAAAAGCACCATTTTCAGCAATGAAATGTAATTTTTCAGTAGTTCAAGCCCAGTAGCTACCTAGATGAGAACATCTCTTGAGATTTAGACTGTAACTCATTCAGCCGACCTGGTTGTAAACCTTGTGCTTGTTGATATAACCGCTAAGAAAAATGTAGGAGGTCCGACTGTGTGTCGAAATTTTGTACTTCACTTTGTACTTCACTCGGTTCCCTCGCTGCCTCCTGGCCTTAAAATGTTCAAAGAAAATGTTAGACGGGAAGGGGCTAATCACATATTTAGTGCATACTTAAGGAAAACCTGAAAAACAGCAAGTTGTAAATGTTATGTGGAATATTATGTGAGCTGATTTTACAGTCAAGGTTGTTAAAAAAACTCAAGCTGTGCTTCATGCAGGCTTCAGATGTGAAATGGGCAAGTGTTTGCTACGTGTTTGCTACGGCGTGGTTCACTTTGGACGCTTTAGTTGATGTTCAGTCAGCAGGTTATGTGAGCCGTTTAACTGGTAAAAGCCACCAATCAGGGCAGATGGTCAGCCTGACTGGGAAATGAGGTGCCTTACTGATCAATACATCAATTAATGGTTTTTGGAAGTCATGTGTGCACTTAAGCGTTTTAACTTTCATCATGAGCTCAAAAGACTTCCTTAATGTGTCTCTAGGGGTGTGTGTATATGTGTGGGTGTGTGTGTGCGTGTTCGGTAAAGGGTGAGTGTGTGGAGTTACATGATTTAGTGTGTCAAGTGTAGTGACACATCCTAAATGCTGAAACAGTGCATTGAATTCAAGCATGGGTTGCAACTATTGTAACAATAATTTTCATCGTGTTTCAATTGACTGATTGCCACATATCCTTAACATTTATCACTGGAATACATGAAGTGATAGGAAACTAAACTGAACAAATTAAGGAAATATGGGAAATGCAAAAAATATAAAGTTATATTAGTTCCTGAATCTCATTTGAGGCCTCGATCAAAAAGACAAAAACCAAACACAGACTTGTATCCGGTCATGACATTTCACACTCTTCATGATCCATGTGGCGGTGTTTCATTTGATGTTTTGCCAACCAAAACTTGCTTTCCTATTTTCAAAACTCAGCGGTCCATCGTGTATTTTAAGGACATCTGGTGCGTGATGCGACTTGGCTGCAAAACTTTGAGAGATTTTTTTTGGATAGTTTTGTCATTAAAAAAAGGATCCAGTTTTTCAATAATGCTCACAGTCAATGAAATACTATGAGATTCTTGCAAAATGAAATCTTCACATATGATATAAAGCTGTCCTTTTGTGAGGCACTGTACAGCAGGGAGAAGCAGAGCTGACCGCAGGCTGCTCAGTTCATTGTCTCTCTTAACACCCAAGGACTATCGGGTGATTATTGTACTTCAACACAAACGTCAATTCCCTGAATGACTAAATTAAGCCCAGGCTCTTCTTGAGATGAGGGCCAGATGAACAGATGATGAGGTTTGTGATTGTTAAGTTTGGATAGAGGAATGTTCTGGCTTTTTATGATTATGAGCAGCTTTTCTACAACAGGAACATTTTAATGAGTTTCACCACGTTTCTCTCAAATCGGTGTTCGGTTGATCTCGGTGACGACTCCTGATCAAGTAGCTCGTTGCCACTGCCAGCTTCTGCTTTTTATTTGCTGTTAAACGTTATGTGATGCACACAAAGCAATTAAGACGCTGTTGAATCTGTGGTCTTTAAATTGATTGTTGCTTTTTGTGATCAAGAGGTCGATTTGCTGTTTAATCTGTATTTGTGTCTTGTGTTTCTGCAGCTTGCCTGTTCAGGTACAATGCCCTGTCCTTCGTCTACCTCATCTATCTCCTGCTTATCCCACTCTTCGCAGAGCCCACAAGCACAACAATGCAAGGTAAGATCTACGCTGTCACTCTCTTTGATCCTTCACACGTTCGTTGGCTCTGGCTCGGTCCATCGCCTGGAGAATCTTGACTGTTTCCCAAAAGCCTCCGGTTTGAACCGCAATATTGTTCCCTGTAAGGTAAACCAGCCCTTCTTCTCCAGGGGACTTGAATTTCCTTGAGATGAGGATGGATTTGGCACATAGTTCAGCCCATGAAAGGTAATATCGGTTTGTACGGGCATGAGTCCATCTGTGATAATATAAATGATCCACGGCCAGCCAGATCTGAGATGACGTGAAAGACGTAATCCATCAGGAACCAGATCTCACCTCCGCTTGATGAAAATGAACATTTTAGGCTTAAGTTTGGTTTATTTGCTGAGAGATTGTCCATATAGATGATAAAACCTGAACACACATGCTGTGCTGTCGAGAAAAGGAACCCGAAAGAGCCTGTAAAATGCCATTCAGAGAGAAAAAAAAGAGATGAGGGCTGTTTTTGATAATGTCTAACCACTTTAATTAGGATATAAAAGTTGCTCCTAAGGCTCCACTGATTCCTGAGATGGGTTTCCTTTCGTAATACCATGATCTGCGTGCAGTTGACAAGTGTTCTTAGTTAATTCAGCCGATGTGAAGGTTGGTATTTGGGCTCTTTGGTATTTTGGTTTCAGAATGAGTTCAAGAAAAGAAATATACATCACAGTGAACCTCTGAGGCTGACTGACGTGACTGTTCTCCCTACGGGTGGTGAACGTGGGTTTGCGGTCGCCAACTTCAGCCGCGCCTTCATGCGTTCCCCTCACTGCACGTCATGTGGGTTATCTGTAAGAGACCACATGCAGTGTTTAATAATACATAAACCCATATTGGTGGAGGAAACAACATCCAGTCCGAGAGTCGTCTCTGCTCGTCTCCAGCTGAAATAACAATCAGGAAGTAAAGGAGTAAGGAGGGAGCAGAGAAAGTGGACCACTTACCCTCTCATCAATAGTTAAAGAGAGAAGTCTTCTAGTAAAGTTCAGCGTTCATGTACCTGATCGCTGCTGACTTCAACCGTGGGTCAACTCCTAATTGAGACAAATACATGACAGACACTTCAACACCAACAAGACGTGACAAATCAAACTTGAAGCGGATCTTTTTTTAAGATGTTTTACAGCCTCCATAATAGTATGTTAAATTTCACATAAAAGTTAATTCAGTGTATATTCAGATGTAGTTTACAGTAGATATCCCACTCTTTCTCCCATTGTTAGGCAATTCCACCGTGAGGTTTTACTCCTTGGGTAGATTTCATTGTCTTAAGATTACAGCTGCACGATATTGTAACGAACTGACTGATTTATTTTCTCCCTGCAATAGATATTGCCATAATAAAATATAGAGACATTTTCCCTGGATGAAGACAAAGTACCTGTCTTTGGTGAACATTGTCCTTTCTGTAGGCTGATTAGGGCTGAACGATTTTGAAAAAATAGGTAATTGCCATATGATTTGTCATATTAGAGGGAATGATAATATTCGTATCATTATTATGGTGTGATTTTTGCGGCGATCAAACAAATGGTAAATGGACTTGTACTTGTACAAGGGGCCACACCATGAGCCACAGTCGCAGGTGAGGCAGACAAAGATGTTTGTAGAATATGATGTTTAGACTACGACATCTCTCCACCACGACAATATATTTAATTTGAGAACGATGAAAGTTTTCTTTTTGTGTTCAGCAGCAAAAAAGTTGCAGCATGACGTGTTTGAGTTAATTTGCCTTACTTGACTTCACACACGTTACAAACGTTCTCAACAATCTAAGAATATGTTTTAGCACTCTTTAAAACGGCCACTGGTGATGTTATTTAAATATCTGGTCCCAATTTGTTGCTTTTGTTTAATGGTTTATTTCTCCTATTTTCAAATAGCCAGTTTATGTTATAATATTATATCATGTAATCTCAAGGTGTTAGATTTTGAAAAAGGGAAATAAAAGACTCACATTTGTCTCTCAACAGCAAGCAGTCTGTGTACAGGCCGATCTCCTGGGGTCTTCTTTACTTCTTTTGGGACACAGTTATTTAAGTTTGTTTATAATAAAAGGTTGTGTTTACACACTGCTTACTGTAGAATGATCATATATAGAAGCAAAGCACAAAAGAAGCGAATATTACACTTTTAAGTTGCCACAGGCGCACATGGTATTAGATATTCTTCCAGTGTAACACCTGCCAGAACATCCTTGTGCCTCACCTGTCTGTCATCAGGGAGGGAAACTGCCGTCTGAGAGAGTGACAGGATGAGGGTGTTTCAGTGAGCGCGGTCTTAGTAACAGGTTTACTTTTGACTGGTTATGAAATGATTGGAAACTTTATTCATTTTAGGTAATTTATTTTTTTCTGATTATTGAAGGAAAAAGGGATTTAGTTTGGGAGACACTCCAGTTTATAGAATTTGAAATAACAGCTGGTTGTGGTTGAGGATGATTGTGACAGCATTGCCAACATTGAATTGTTTTAATATAATTACTACACTGTGGTGATTATAATCTAGAGCAGATAATCAGAAACTGTAGACTTACAACGTGACAGTTATCTCCTCCCTCCTGGCAATTCAAATTGTATGAAAACCATCCAGAATACACACTGACAGTGAAAACTTATAAAAATACACATCTCACTGTGCAGAAAAGACGCCCACTCTACATTTTTGAATGTTTTAAGAGGGAGTTGAGTGTAATTCAGTGCTTTTTTCACTTTTTATTTAGTTTTCACCAACATAACAACATGTGTTTTCAGACAGTTATTTCTTTGTCCATTTTTCAGCTGTATGTAGTCTTGGTGCACATGGTATTCAGGTACAGTGTACAATGCACAGAAGGACCAACAAACATCAAATGGTGCTCACTCCAAGAGAAAAATAGGGGAAGTAAGAACAAGAGTAGGTAATTGATTACATGCATAAATAGTGCTTTGTTTTGATGGTCTGTTTCATTTTGTCTGTTGAATCTTAAAGGACATGCGGCAGTTAAATCTGGAAAGTTAATGTAAACCAAATGTTTGACATGAATAATTCATCAAGTGTAATTTGCTTGAAGAAGCCACAGCAGTGCGGTGTGCCCGAGGATATATCGGTGCACGAGAGGAGACAAACAATATCTTATGCAACTTGTTGTTGTTTGGGATTTACTCTCTAATGTCGTAATTGCACTATTTGGCTCCAGATCCCCTTGAAGGCATTCAATTCTCAGTGGAGGTGAACAAAATCTAAACTGTTGCTCTGATATGGGCAGCAGACATTTTAAGAGCCTTTACAGTAGGTGCTATACGCCTTGTTGAATGGGCACCGACATGACAATTTCCCTTTGGGGAGTCTTTTAGTACTGTTGCATGAATTTGTATAAATATTTGATGCTATGGATGATTTATCAGGTTTATGTTTTAGCTAGGAGACTTCTAAAAGAGGATGTCTGGTGTTAACGCTTATCCTAGTTTGGCTTTTTTTTGAAATCCGTCATTTATCACACTTTTGTGTTGTCAGGAAGGCAGTGGTGGAGGAAGTACTCAGATTTACTTAAGTAAAAGCAATATCACAGTGTTGAAATACTGTGTGACAAGTAAAAGTCCTGCATTCAAAAGCATCGGAATCAAAATATACTTACAGTAAAATGACTAATTATGCAGAACGGACCATTAGAGAATAATTTATCATCACTGGATTATAATTATTGATGTATTTATGTGTACGCATCACCAATGTTGCAGCTGGTAAAGGTGAAGCTAATTGTAATTATTTTATATACTGCTGGTTAGCTTAATCCTTAATAATATAAATAAATACATTTTGTATTAGCAATCTGCAAAAGTAACATAAACAATTATGTAAAGGATAATATTGGATTAAAAAATGTAACGGGAGTAGAAGTATAAAATAAATTAAGTACCTCAAACTTTTGCTCAAGTACAGTACAGTACAGTGAGTAAATGTACTTTGTTACATTTCATCACTGCTGGCAGAGACTTCTCAAAAAGACCAAATAATTGAAAACATTTTATTTCCCCAAACTAAGTGGTTAAATCAGGTCTTAATGTCGTCGATTGGATACTGTTCTCTGATTGATGAGGGAGAAAGCAGCAATTGTTAAAACTGAACAATGCCCTCTGTTTAGCAAAGCTTTTAAACATACTCTTGGGATGGCGCTTTGAGACTAAATAATGAAGCAAGGCGAAATACAAATTTAAGATGACCGTCAGGCAACCAAGAGAGATGGCCGTCACACAACAAAAATGCTGTATTACAAATAGGAAAAGAAATGGGGACTGAACCAAAGCCGTTGCGTTATCCACAGCCTTTTGGACCAATTTGGATGAGGAAGTTCGCTAACAGTCCTCATACCTCTGTATTTACAAGCATTCTTTTCCTTCTTTGTGAAAGCACAGGGAGTTACAACGGGAAATTAGCACAGCATTTCTTTTCACTTCTACATTTAATTTGCCTGCCACGGTCTGCTGCTACACACATATGATAAGGTCAGCCTCTCGGTGGCCTGAGGCTCAGCAGTAGTGCGTCACCTTTGCCAGGATATTGTGCAATACACTAAAGAATAACTATTACATGTTCCCCGCAAGGATGCAGTAAATTTAATGAGATGAAGATGTTGCCCTGGGAAGAACCAGTGGACAAAACCGTTGCAGATATGTGGGGCAATTTAAAGGCTGATAATGGATGCAGTAAGGGCCATTACTGTCATTACCTCATCAAAGAAGAAGAGTCCAATCAAGCTTGTTCCTCCCTATGGGTGATCATTTTAATTTTCACTAACAAGAAGGGGTCTGAGAAATCCTACTGTAAAGAATTATCACCATAACAACTCCTGAAATTATCCCAAATACCTGTAGGTGCACTGTAAAATAGCCATGTGTTGGACAGCTGTGGCAGACTGCTTTCATCCTCCCCTCCCAGGAACAGTAATGTCCACTGATAGCTGTGTTCTTTACCTAAATTAACGAAAGACAGGCAAAGAACACCAAAGCCAAGAAACCAAAGAATCAAATCGGGTATAAAAGCTGGTTTGGCTCCTTCTACGATGAATTAGAGAAAGTTAAAGGTCTTGTGGTCCACCAGAATGTTTATTTGACTTTTTAACAGAAATAAGCGTTGCTGTATCGTAGTGTTGCCAGCTCTTAACCAGGGTATGTATTATGATCCACAGAAAATCCCTCTTGGTTGCGCTGCCAGTCACCTTCAACTTATTTTTTTTTTTTTTTACTAATTCATTCAAAACAGCTCTGGACTTCCCAGCTGATCACATGAACATTGATTGTTGTTGTCTCAGAAGTACCAGGCACTTCTTAATGCTGCACAACTCAAAAAGTATTAACATTTTCCTCGTGTCAAGTTTCTGTGCCTTGAAAAACAACAACCGTTAAAGAGACCTGTTCTGGGTTTCAGTGCATGAACGGCAGAAATAACATGTGGAAATCCTTAAACTGAGTGGTGTCGGTGTCGGTGGTGAACTCACTGGAGCTGCTCTCCTTCTCCAGGCCACACAGGGCGTCTGCTGCAGTCCCTCTGCTTCACCAGTATGTCCTTCCTGCTGCTCCACATCATCTATCAGATTACCGTCAACAGCCTCCTGGCCGGGAAGTCCATCACATCTGACTTCAACTGTGAGTACAGCACACTGCAGCCTCTGTGGTCAAGGCTCTGAAGGTAGTGATGTTTGTTGTGTATGTGGAAATCAAAGCGGCTTGCAGGGTCAAGAATCCACGAAGAAGGGGCGGAATGGATTTTATTGATTTCAGCTTTTGCTGTGTGCAAACCTTTTGAAAGACATACAAGAGGACACTTTGTTTTAGTTTTAGAAAAGTCAACAGACAAATAAACCCTTTAAACTCAATTTTGGTTAAACGGTGACAGTTGCAATCTTGCCTCCCTAAAAATTATGTTTATACAACAAAAGGGTTTTGCCAAATGTGTTTTTTTTTATTTCTAGTTCAAAGTCCGGTTTCTCACGTTCGTTGCACCCATGCAACACTAGCTTTAATAGTGCTTTCATTATATTCCACATAGTAGCAGTCTTTCATTTATGTTGTGGTACTAACAATGGTTGTGCTGGTCCGCCTTCTTTAATGTCTGAATATGAGAGTATTCTGTGCGGTTGCTGTATGCACGTTGTTTCATTCTCTGTGAAAGAAAGCAACAATAGCGGTGAGCAGAAGCTTTGCTGTGGAAATGTCTTCACTAGATGTTTTCTACTAATAAAAAAGAAGATAGCTGACCTTTTTTTCAACTTGCTTCATGTTGCCTTCACAGTTTACAACCTCTACTGGCATCAGAAAAAACACCAGCAGCCCAAACTGATCCGTCACAGTTCTCTCTATTCCCGTGTGGTATCTCTGTAGCCACCATAGTCCCAGAGTGTGGTAACATTTTTTTAGGAGGTGGACACCAGCTACGATGTAGCCCTAACTCCTCAATGCAGAAGTTTACATGAAGCTTAAACATAACCGTAAAATGCTGACCATGCTTTAGTTGCCATTAGTGGATATTTTTGGAAACACAAATCAAAATAACTGTTTAGTATGAACATATTTTTTTATTTCCTTATTATGTCAATACAAAACATAATCCATGTGACAACACATTTCATGTACGTATGTTAATTTGTAGGATAGTTGAGTATAAACATTTTCAGGTGGTTCTAACACGTGATTCCTTCACAAATCACTCACTCTGAGATCTCATGTCAGAGCAAAATTGTGAGATCTCTACTTGTTGGGCCACATGTTCATGACAGACTGTGTGCACACGTGTGTCCTATCCATCACGCTGACCGTTTTGTGCTTAAACTCTGACCTGACCTGTTGACGCAGTGTCACAGAGTTGTATATCACCAGAGAATGTGTCCAGGGAAGGTTTCCAGGGAAGACATGCTCCATTTGCAGCAGAAAAGTAAAATATGCTCACTAATAACGATTCTCAATTTCTACATATATCCTCACTCTTATTGCATTTTGTCACATCATGAAGATTTATGATTGTAACACATTCCTCAATGTAATTAGCTTCCTTCTGCCATATGGCGATGTAGGAAAAAAAAGAGATTCTTGCTGCCAGTAAAGCAAGCACTGTACACTACTGACTCAGTGCTGGGAAGGTGTTAATAGTTGGCCTTGGGCTTCTCATGAAACTGTATCAAACTGTAAAATTTGAATGTGTCTAGACGGGACAGACCCTGACCGTGTGTTCTAATGACTTGTTCTTTCTAATGGAGGTAATCCGCTTTCCACCGTCCAAGTCCAGCCAACTTTGCTCAGAGGGCAGAACGGACCTTATCGCCCTCGGGCAGAAACACGCAGAACCGTTCAGAGAGGGTAGACTAAATATTCACTCTAGGAACTCTTTATTACTAAAGGGAGGCAGTTTTTGGCAGCTCAAACTGTGGTGTGATGAGACCATCATTTCTATCCATCTGCAGTATTTATCTGTGTAAGTCTGTCTATTGATTTACACAATACTTACTTGCATTAACAGGATTGTAAATTGTGAAGCAAATTAACATATTTGGTGAATCTTTGCAACATAATTTGTTCTTTGAAAAGCTTTAATTTCATAACAGCCAATCAATTGTTTGGTTGGTTGACTAATATTAATGCATAGATCAGGAAACTTCAATATGATAACATGAGTGTTCATTTTGTCTGGCAGTTTTGAAGAGAAGCATGTGTTGACGTCATTTTAATTTCATGACTGATCTGTAACGACCATTATGCCCTGACGAATAAAGGCGAGATGAAATAGTTGTCTCTGTTCGGGCGGAAAAGGAATGATAATTTAGATTGCTCTTTATGACCAAGAGCCAATCCTCGTTAAGCGACACCTTAACAGATTATAGATTACTATAATATGGAGCTAAAGAGACACTTAGGAAAAAGAAGTTGAAAACATTACAAAATGTTGGTATTGATTTGTAAAATAAAATTAGCTGACATCCCCACTGTGAGGATTTGTAGACTAGATTTGTGGATTTCTACCTCCTGAAGTCAGTGTCATCCTGTTCCTATTTTTGTTTCTGGGCTACATATGCAACAGGAAGTCCGACATTACTCTTTGTCCCCTTGATGCGCCGCCTTCATTCTGAGTGAATGCCTTATCTCAGATTTCTATATCTGGCGTCTCACCCCTCAACACCCTTTTCCTTTTGGCAGCCAAGTATAAACAAGGAGTCCTCCTTTGCGGTGAGGCAGTTATCCTCCCTCCAGATATCTTTATATAATTTCCCCCATTCACAGTAGCCAAATACACCATTAGAGCAGTAAACTGAGTTGACTTTGAATTTCCAAAAAGGCTAACACCTCCAGCTGTTAGATCAGGTCAGTGACTGGTCACCAGATGAGCTGGGGCCAGCTTCCTTTGGAGTCATCTGTCTTTCCTCTGTTTATAAATGCAGTTCCCACCATGTTGAGCCAGCACAGTCACAAGCAGTTGCAAATAACTGTCAAAGACCACCAAATACCAAATACTTTCCTGTAATTGTCTCAACTCTTTGTCATTGTACAAAGTGCCAACGCCCACCCATCTGGAGATTAAGAAGGTTAAAACAAACCATAAAAAAGGATTTGCTAGTTTGATTCAGCTCATATCTGATGGCAATGGATATTTCCACAGCTCATAAAGAATAAACAAGCTGTTGAATGGATGTTTTGTGACCAGTTCCTCAGAGGTAGTCTTCATTAAGTCCAGTAGACGCCGTAGACCGCCCTCCGTATCCACACATATCTTGCCCACCATTCCTCAAATGTGAAACATTTACTGAATTCTCCCTCCGCATACCGATTGCCTGATCACAGTCGTGACGTGCTGAAATGTTGACGCTGCATATCACCAGTCTCTGCAGAAAAGGCCAACAGGCATTAGGCCCCGGAGATAGAAGAGAGAGTGAAAAGAAATGCTGTGCTGAGAGGTTAACGGCCCAGCAAGTACAAAGGGTGTTTTATGATATTCCCATAAAGTCTGAGGACAAGTATTTTTGGTGCTCAGCTGGGGTGGAAAGCGCCTCGATGCGTTCAGGCTGTATTACACAATATTCCTCTCCTCATCCTATGGATCAGACTGGCCTGTCTTTACCTCTGGCATTCCTCATGTATGACATTGGTTTCCTCTTTTTTCACCTGGGAGCTCAGTTTGGGCTGGGTGAAGTTGGGTGTTGCAGATGTTTGGACTCTGGAGTTGCTGAAACAGAATCTGTTTTGCCTGTGGTCACTGGGCTGACATTTTAAACGGAAGAGTTTTTATTTGAAGCTTTAAATGGGGCATTAAGTTATCTATGATCTTTATAGACCTTTGTGGGTGACTATCGGGCATTACAACAACATCAGTGAACCATATTTCCTGTGTATCACGTCCACTTAGAGTTCTTTGACTTGTAAAAAACGCAAACTGTAAAGTAGCTAGTTTAATAGACCAGAAGCCCAAAAAACGTAAAGTGAGATAATATGCAAGTGGCTGGCATTACATGTATTGACACTGATACTTTAACCTCCATCAGTTGAGCACTTCACTGAGCACTTCAAAATGCGAGTAGAGGTGTGGAGGCGGACAGTTTGTTTACAGTTCAGCCGGAGGACAGCTGTGAGTGTTGGATGTCAGAGGTTATGTCAGGGGTTAGTCATATGGGCTCCTCCCATCACATATGGTTTCCTAATTTATTTTCTAAGTTTCATGAACCAACTGACTGCCACACTCTTCTCCTCTACCCCAACCACACAACACATAACATCTGAGCCAGGGAAGCTATATTTATTCACTGATGAGTAATAAAGAAACACCAAGGTTTGCACCGACAGTCCATTACCGTTTTATTCACCTTGAGTGGAATTCAGAGTTTCCTGTTTCTGACAAAGTGCCTAACAGTGTGACTCATTCCTTTACGGGATACTTAGGGTGTGTGTGTGTGTGTGTGTGTGTGTGTGTGTGTATCATTTAGGAGAAAACCCTTTTATTTTTTGTCTTTTGTTGTTTTCTGCTTTTAGCTGTATCTATTGTCATCCATCCTGAATCCAAAGTCACCTTTACGCTTCTATTGAAAATACTTTTCCCTCTTAAAATGAAAAATATTTGTTATAGTCTGAATCCTTTAAGATATATTCATCATCCTGAATTAATGGTTGAGTTTTCTTTTTACTTTGGAATTGAACATTTCATATTCTAGTTTAACAACAGTTGCAGCAAAAACCCGTTTTTAAGCTTAACTTAACAACCTCCTGAAAGTAGTTTGCACACAGGTGAGGGAGCAGATAAAGTAATTCTGATTCAGCGCTTTCTCTGCAGTCTGTTTTGAGTTACTGTCACTGAAGTGTGTTTTAACATCCTCACTCTCCTCACTGCGCTCCATAAACCAGAAACTTCAGCACCGCAGCAGTTCAGCACCTAATTAGTCAGCTAATACACTGTTCAAAACAGCCGGATATGTCGATATGTCATTGAGTCGAGATCCTCGAGTCACAAGCCGATGTTATGTTTTCTCTGGCTGGAGAACAAAGGCCTGTCAAACTTCGGCAGTTATTCTCAGTGTGCCGGTTGAATACCTGGAAATCTCCCTTTGAGCGCTGGAGTGACGTTCAGGAACACTTCAGCCAGTCCAAGCTTTAGAAACAAAGCTCGCATGAAATGTTTTTATTTTCTGCGTGAGAACAGAAAGATTATTTTCCTCCTTCACCTGAAAATGAAATATCAACTGAAATGAAAAAAATGATTCTGGCTATTATAAATGATTTCAAGCAGGTGTTTTAAAGGTTTATTTTATCATTATTGATGGTTTTGTCAGAGGCAAAAAAACTATTTTTACAGACTAGATCTCAATTCTTTATTTATAGTAATGGTGAATAATAAATGGCAGTATCTATAATGGGTTCAGTAATTTAAATACATCTATTTTTTGCTTGTTTGAAAGTTTTGTATAAAAGCTGCTTGACCATGTTTTTAATGACTATTATCTAAAAGTCTACTTTAAAAGACTGTTATATTCACTAACTCACTGTTTTTGTCCAGGTTCCACGTGGGAGAGATCCATAAGACAAATTGGCTTTGAGAGGTAAGAAAATAATGAATTCAACACTTTCACAACAAATGGCATTCACTGAAGTAGCATTAGTAACACTTGAGACCCAGAATATGAATCCCTGTAAAGAAAAACTGTTTCAAAAATCACATTTTCCTGACGATCATGCATCATAAAATATAGAAAGTTTGGATTTTGTTTAACTGCGCATGAATCTTTCTCACAGTTGGGCAATGCTTTTTAAGGAATTGATAGGAGTTTTTGCTGATGAAAGGGAGAGACAGCAATATGACCACATCTTTTTTTTTTTTTTGTGAAATTCAGAATCAACAGCCTAAGCCATTAATATTGAAATATTTATCTCACCTGTTAAAGATCAGACATGTGGTTCTCTTCCACTGTAGAAGGTTGCATCATTTGTGCAAAGTGTCCTAAATATAGCAACCCCACAATAACATTAAACACCACTTTTTGCATTTAGCCGCGCTGGCCCGTAATCTGACGAGGTTTATAAATGCTCCTAACCTGTCCCTGTGTGGATTCTTGATGAACGCTAAACCCAGTTACGTCTGACGATCGGTTGACGGGCCTATTTTTCAAAGCTTCTGCCGCTGTGTCTGTCTCCTCACACCCCCATGATCATGTTAGATGTGGTTTCCTAAGTACGGGAATGTCCAAAGTCAGCCACATCCTTTTTCCAGTACTCAACCGCCCTCGGTGTATAGTATACTGTAAGTGGCGGAAGTAGAGCCATAAACATTTTATCCCGCCTGCATTTACCTGTTTGTGTTGGCGATCATATACAGTATATACAATATTTACAGCTGCATAGGCGGATGCTTTCTCCCTTTTATGGCCCGTGTGGAGGAAATTGCAGAGTTGATGTCAGATCCATGGAGTCTAAGGAGAATTCACAGCTGTTTTGTGTCTTTTCACCCAGACAGATAATTCAGTTTCCTCAAGCTTGACCTTTTTAAATCCTTTATAAATATCAAATATTTATATGGATTAGAACATATTTTGTGGTTTCTGTATTTGTCGTTTTTCACTGCCGCCTCATGAACCTCTGCAGCCTGAGGCAGTGAGGACAGGTCTTAGTAGTGCTAATGTTATTGTAATATTCTCACATGATAAAAGTAGTAATCATTAAAGTTGCTCGCTCGCTTAACCTTCTCTGGCTCTGATAGTTTCCATCTCTTTCATCCACGTGAGGATGCACGAAGCTTCACAACAATAAAGCACTTGGAAACTGACGTCTTTGATTAGATTAAACTCCAGCTATTTATCTGAGTGTGCGTTTTCCATCATGTTGATTAGCTCTCTGTTTTGTTAACTTGTTAACTTTTACAAGCTTAATATCCTCTCAAGGCCAGAATGAGATTGGTTTTGTTTGAAAAGAACAGTTGCTTTATAACTTGATCCCAAGATTTGGTCGGCTTTGTCTCCACAGCCTGCACCGCAGAATCACCAGTTTTGTTTTGTTTATTGTAAACAGTTTAATTAGTTTAGTTAAACTCGGAGTTCAGCATGAAATGTTAAGAAAACCCTTTGGTGGCCAAACACAGGATGTAGGTGGGATCGTTGTAAAACTGAAATAGAAATTGTTTTGGATGGTGCTAGCCATTTCAAGGACAATTTTCACTTGCTTTAATTGCACATGCAATCATGACACCTCATAAATCATGTGAATACATCTTAGTGGATTGAATCCTGGCGTTTCTGTAGCTGTCTTGGCAACATTGGTCGCCACTGTTTTGCTTCCTGTTTGAACAAACCTTTCAGTATTTAGTTAGAGGTGAGCAGACTAATCAAATCACAAATGTTACAAAAGCTTTGTTTGCTCACAGCGATATAACCACAAGGCATCAAACAATGTCAGTCAATTCAGTCAATTAATGAAAAACACACACTGTGTAGACCAGACCTGGAGTAAATATAATTTGTTTATAAATTATTATTATCTGTGGACAGTGTTTGGTGTGAGAATAATTCAAATAGCGTCAGGTAAGATGTGTATGAGCTTCAACAAAACTTAATTAACACATTAAATCTGGAAAATCTAAAGTAGTTTCAAACCCTCTCACTTTATTTTAAGTAGTTTAATGAGGGGAAAAAAGAGCGTATTTTGAACAAAGGATGCAATTAAATTTTCAAGGGAGTAAACATGTTTTTGGTTAAAAATAAAACCCACACTCTCTCATTGCCTTTTTGTTTGAATGGAATTTCACTCACTTTTTAACGGCAACACGTTTAAAACGGGCAAGCCTGATTTCATTAAAGTGGGTGGTACTCCATATAAAAGCTGAAGAATTCAACACAACACATATTAAAAGAGAAGCTGAGTAATGGGGAAAGCATCCAGATTCCCATGTGAACAGATGGTGTTTTCTGAAAGATGAAATTTCTGCAATAGTATCCATACTCATGAGTTTGAGAACAGTTCCAGTCTATGTGAAGACAGATTGTAGGGAATTAATGCCCAGTGACAACTACTGCAAGCTTTTTAAAGATTGTTGAACCATTTTTTTTTAAACAATCAGAGAGAACTGAAAGATTGGGAGAGACAGAGGGTGGTGAAATGTGACAAATATCCCAGGCCAGACTCAAACTCACACCAGCAGTTATTTGTGGGCCTTATCCAAGTAAAGGAAATGAGCAACTACAAGTCCCAGTCTTAGGAAAACGGTTTCATATTAAAAGTGATCATCCATGGACAGTTAAGTTTGTCGTAATCTGCCCCGTTTTCCATCATTTGGTTACTATCCTAGCCTGCAATAATGTTCCAAATCACAGTTTTCGGGAGACATTAAGAACCATTGAGTGTCTGCCTTCTGTCAGTGTGGTATCCTCTGTTTGTCTCCAGCGTGATTGGTGCAGATGCAGGGAACGGCATCCGAGTGTTCATCCCCGACATCGGCATGTTCGTGGCCGGCTTGGCCATCTGGCTGCTGTGTCGCAGTCTGGTCCAGAAGAGGCCGCCTGAGGACATGGCGCAGTACAACGCCGACTTCGAAGCCGAGGAACAAGTGGGTTTCATTTGTGGTGACAAGCAGTGTCCTGAAAACAATGTCTGACTTTTACATCCATCCATCTATCTATCTGATTTAACTAATTACTTTATTAGTAATATAGTAAAGTAAGTTGTCTTTAATATAGGACTGCTTCTGAATATTTTTCAAGTTATAAAAAAATGAAAAATGCCCACTACAATTTCCCATATTCAAGGTGAAGTCCTCAAATAACTTGTTTTGTCCAATCAACAGTCCAAAACCCAAAGATATTCACTTCATCATATAAATCAGACAAAAGCAGCAAATCCTCACATTTTTATTGATTTTTGTCCTTGATAAAAAGAAACATTTTTGACAAAGTGCCTTTAGGATGGGTGGATAACTTTTGACCACATATACATAAAAAAACTATGAAGTAACATTTTCTTACATCAGCTAAACTTTTACTGTGTGACCGCTGTGTGCAGGGGTCGTTTTAGACATGAATGCCACAATAACATAAAACCAAATAACTTAAATTAAGAAGTAAAACATTGAATTACAAAGACGGCAAATTTGTTTTAAAATGCTTTAGAAGCAGAAGCTCATCGAAATCTACATTTCAGTAAATAGTGCCTTGGGCGAGTTTAAACAAGGCTTTAGGTCGTGTACTGGGATAAACATCTCTAAGTAGACTTTTATGTCCATGAAACTAAACAGAAGAAGTAAAAAATGTCTTAATTAGAAAGTTCTCATAAATATAAAAAGGGAAATGTGTCCACAAACCTCACGTGTGCACAAATCCCAATGTAAACTTCTTTACACAAACTTTTAGATTTCTGGACCAGAATCAGGACAAATTATTTTTCGCACTATGAGCTTGTCAACGTTTCCAGACTGCAGTTCAGGCCTCTGACTGTTTATCTCGGTAATGGATGACATCTATGTGTTTTCACTTGCACTTCCCTGTTCCCTTTGAGTGTTGATGATTTGGAATACCTCCCCCCCCATCCCCTGGCATGTCCTACCTTCTCTTTATGACTGGGTGTTAATTAAATCCACATTCACTTTGACTTTGACTGCGCCGCTCACGCTGGCATAGCTGGCATCTCTCGCCATTACTGAGAGACAACAGGAATTCATCTATGGAGCCGGCGTTGTCATCAGACTTTTATTTCCATCAGTGAGCAATTGGAGCTGAAATTGTTGTTTGATTCAAAACAGGCTTTGTACCACCTGCTACTTTCTTTGTCTAGTGCCTTATGTGTTCTATATGAATCACTTGTTATTATGTCTCTATTTTATTGAGACTGTCGGAAAAGAGCGACACACAGTTGGTTAGATACAGCAGACAAGGAAGAAGTGACTGGATGAGATTCAAGCCAACGTGTGGTTCCAGAGAAAAACATCTGCCACAGGTCGCTAATCATGTCTCAAGCAGCTAAACAGACAACATACATCTTTAGAAATGCTAAACTGGAGTTTACATATGGGATTGTGAAGCAAGCGCTACCTGTAGGAAAGTGTTTTCAGCACCATGGAGAGCTCTGACCTCCAAACTGCACCATTAATCATTTTATACTGAAACGTAATGTGTCGCTATAATCCCACCCTCTAAAGGAAGAAGAGGAGAAGCTGAGCCTGGACGACAACATCCTGCTAGAGGAGGACTTTGAAGCGGGGTACGAGGCCGAGGAGGATGAAGAAGAGGAGGAGGTGGATGAGGAGGAAGAGGAAGGAGAGGAGGAGGAGGAGGAGGAAGCAAAGGAAAGCACCAAGATGAAGATCCTACGGCATGTGGCGGAGGTTGCGTCCAAAGTGAAGGAGATTATCGGGAACTTGATCACGACTGCGGGGAAGGTGGTGGTCACCATTTTGTTGGGCATTACAGGTGAGCAGCTTTGGATGCTTTTTCCAATTACTGTACTGTTGGTTTTTATTCTGTAGTAATGTTCTGAAAGCAGAGAGTTTTTAAAAGAATTCAGTTGAAATATGAATGTCAGAACATTTTTAAGAGCGAACTGAACGTCACACTATCCTATTCACAAAGTCTGCTTCTTATTTGTCGTGTGGGTTTGATTCAGACTGTAGTTGAGAAATATGTAAATATGTGTGAGGTTTTAGGGTTTCGGAAATTAAGGAAGAAAATCAGTTAACATTTCTCTGATTTTATAATTTACCTCCAACAACAACTGAAGTGTTGTGGTCTATGTGGGTCAAAACAAAAGCTGATAATTAATAAGGATCCTAATCAGATAAGTAAACTCCAACTCTGACTTTGTATTCCTTTCTTGTGTTTTCAGGTGTCATGCTGCCCTCGTTGACCTCGGCTGTCTACTTCTTCATCTTCCTGTTCCTGTGCACCTGGTGGTCCCTCTGTCGGACCTTCGACACACTCATCTTCAGCTGCATGTGTGTCCTGATGGCCATCTTTAGCGCTGGACACCTCATTGTACTGTACCTCTACCAGTTCCAGTTCTTCCAGGAGTCCATACCACCGGACGATTATTACATCAGGTGATACACATGCACGTTTAATGAATCCAAACACTGTCTAAAATCCTGTATGTTTACTTTAAATCTGTAATTTTGTGCCAGGCTCAAAGTTCGAACATATTTCATCAGTCCAAATCAAAACACTTATTAATTTACAATATGTCTGCTTATTAGGATGCATTAGATTTGGATTATTTTCCAAATTTAAACCTGACAGCCTTTCTTGATACAGAAAGAGATGAGTTAAACCTTGAGAACAAAGTACAAAATGACTTCCAAACAGCAGTGAGTGATGGCTCAAGCTAGAGATTTGTACTAAAATCTAAATGTACTAACATTAGATCTCATGTCTCTGTGATGAATTGTTGAAATGGTATTTAAACAGCACAAAGCCCATAGATTTGCCGTCTGGCTCCTTACTAATGTTAAAGTAACATAACGTGATGACAGCGCTCAGCAGCAAGAGCTCCTTTGACTCGACAATATTTATTGCGCCCAAGGCAAGTTTGTTTAAATGATAATAAATATTTACCATCGTTACAAACAAGAAGGCAAAGGAAAAGGCAAACCCAGCTGGAGGGAAGATATATCAAACTCGTTCTCACAGCACATCAATATCCGAAGCAGAGCTTTTAGGCTCTTCAGTACAACCAGTGTTGTTTTATTATGCATGAGAGAGGAGACAATCAGCTGTCTGTGGCTGCAGCGGTGAAACGTTGTGGTTGGAGTAAAGCCACATCGTTGCACACCTTGCCAACATACGTTAGACACGGTTGTGATGAATACAAAGTCTGCAGCAGAAAGTACCTTTAGTCACTAAACTCTCTGTTTGACTGACAACTTGTAATGCAAAGAATGCAGGCTGAGTACTAAAAAATACACACAAACGACTACCACCCTGGATGTTTGACAAAAAAAGAGATTTTCTGCTACAGCAAGAATAGAGGAACATTTAGCTATGGGAGATGTTATACTGATCCATTTTGTTAACTTTTATTTGACCATAAAAAGTCTCACTGAGACGAAATGGTGCCACAATCTCACATAAAACTTAAAAAATTACAATCCTCTAATTTTTTATATTATAACAGTGGACATTGCTCATATTTAATCTCCATTTGGGTCTGAATATGCATCAAAATACACACAGTTATAATCAATATTGAAATACATTTACAATATGTTGATGAGGAAATTGTAATATTGTCAAATGTAATGTACAAAAATCTAAAACATGTAGCTGTTGTCTCACTGTAACTGTTGTCTCACTGTAGCTGTTGTCTCATTGTAGCCGTTGTCTCATTGTAGCCGTTGTCTCACTGTAGCTGTCTCACTGTAGCTGTTGTCTCATTGTAGCCGTTGTCTCATTGTAGCCGTTGTCTCATTGTAGCCATTGTCTCACTGTAGCTGTCTCATTGTAGCCATTGTCTCACTGTAGCTGTCTCACTGTAGCTGTCGCATTGTAGCCATTGTCTCACTGTAGCCATTGTCTCATTGTAGCTGTCTCACTGTAGCCGTTGTCTCATTGTAGCCGTTGTCTCACTGTAGTTGTCTCACTGTGGCTGTCTTATTGTAGCCGTTGCCTCATTGTAGCCGTTGTCTCACTGTAGTTGTCTCACTGTGGCTGTCTTATTGTAGCCGTTGCCTCATTGTAGCCGTTGTCTTATTGTAGCCGTGTCTCATTGTAGCCGTTGTCTTATTGTAGCCATTGTCTCAGTGCCCTTGGTGTAGCAGGGTTTTATTGATCTCACGGTTTCTCATTTGAAAGCTGTGCTGCTGGGTGTCAGGGCCGAGGCTATTTACAGCTATGTATAGAGGAAGCTGCCTTGGACAAACCTTGTGTCCTCACCATCCTTCTTCTGGTTCAGATGGCAGATAAGGTGTGATTACAGTGCTGTATTGACGGACTTCTTGTTAGAAAACCCATCAATAGTCCGTTTAAACTGTGAATGCTTTATGAACTATTCATTAGGAGTCGCATCTAAATCAGTGGCCTTCCAGCCTTGAGGCCAAAACTCCCTGAAGTCTCTCCAAATTATTAAAAGGATTAAAACAGTTGTATGAAAAAAATTAAATATATAATATAATATTTGCCTATGTCTCTAGGGCCACATTTAGCCATGATGACGCATAATCACAAAAATACCTAAATTATCACCAAAAATGACTTAACTTCAATACTAACTTGTAAATTTGCTTTATTTAATTCCCAGCAGTAAATATGGGAGAGTGGGTGTCATTTTTTTGATCAGCTCTTTATTTGATTTTTGAAGCATTCAATTTGGAAAGTTTACAATGACTCTAATTCTCCTTTGATAGCTCTTTACATGAACAGGCCAACTTTTTCATCATCTGCCGTGTCTTTGTGCGTTTATGTTGACTTTCCACAGCGCTGAGGTATTTCTGTCTGCCGCAGTGTAATGTGATGATAAAAGTAACACACTCTTCTGCGATCCGGCCTGTTACCTCTCTGCACACCCTCACGCCGTCTGAGGGAAACTTACAAACATAAATACGTGCAGCTCCCATTGGACAAAAGAAAGGCTACCTCAGTTCTTGCCCTAATTGTGCTTGTTGACAGTTGAGTCGGCCTTGCCATCGGCCCAGTGTTGAGTGAGACTGTTGAGAGGCCTGGCTTCCACTCCACTTCCTGCCTTCCTTCCTTACAATGGAAGTCCCCAGTCATGTGACCAGCGGGCTTTCCCCCAGCTGCAAGAAGAAACCATTCAGGAAGTGTGACGGGGTCAGAGGGTATTCGCCCCTCCGCATGGCAGAGACTCAGGAGACCTGTAAATCTGTGTGGTTGTCACTGGAATACGTCAGTGCACTTCCTGTTGAGCAGATGATCTTTGTTCTGCTCAGAGGAAGAGGTGTGAATCAAACGGAGTCCTTTGTGGTACAAACAGATATTTAGTCTCCGTGCATTTTTTAGATTCCAAGAGTGTGGAAGGAAATCGTCTTTGCAGGAATGTCATCTAAAGTCTACACTTAATTTCTGAAGCTGTTTAAATGAGCCAGTCAACTGTTCATTGACAGTGTATATCATGGTAATGTACCACCTATTACGAACATCAGGGCCTGTATTTATAAAACTAAGAATTACACTGAAGAAGGACCCCTTGAGGCAACACCTCCTTCAGATTATAAAAAACAAAATTGGACTCACCAATAGCTCCATCCTTCCACTTCCTGCCATATATCCAGGGTGCTTGTCATGGTGGCAGCAGGCTCAGTCAGTTTTATTTATATAGCCCAATATCACAAATCACAAATATGCCTCAAGGGGCTTTACAATCTGTACGGCATACGACCACCTCAGATAAGAAAAAACAAAACCTTTTAAAGGGGAAAAAAATAGAAGAAACCTCAGGAAGAGCAGCTAAGGAGGAGTCCTCTCCCTGGACTGACTTGCATACAATAAATGTGTAGAGAATGAGCAAAATAACAAAAAAAAAATCTTGCGATGGGATCACATCAGCTGTGGCGCCATTATCGGGCCAGGGGTGTAAAGTGTGTGTGTGTGGGGGGGGGGGCCCTTCCCCACTTCATACCCCCTACTTCTGGTGCCCTTACTGAAACCACACCCATCTTCAAACAGGGCTTTCATCTACGCACCGTTAAACGGTTGCGACGCTAAGTAGTGTGGGATTTGTTTAGTGAATGATGACACACTCCCAGACTCACAAGGTGAAAACAATACCGTTGCTGTCGAGGCTTCTTTTGGCCTGAAGAAGAGAAAGTGCCCGATATTAAAGTTAAAAATGAAATAAATAGAAATAAAACATAATTTGTTAAATACATTGTTTTTTCCCCTCATCCCTTTAATCATCCTGGCACTTCTCACATTAGGTCCCGGCCCCCGGGTTGTGAACCCCTGATGTTTAGTGTATAGGCCATCCAGCACAGACAGCATGACTCTGCAGTCCTTACAGTCTTTTGTAACGTTTGCATCACTTCAACCATCCTGGCCTTGTTTCTGAAATCGATAATTAGTTTTAAAGATGGAGAACCCAATGCCTGAATTGAAGGTAATAAATTAAACAATACACTTATCTCAATTGAGAACCGTCCAATCTGCTGATTGATGATTTGGGCAAGTTCACAGAAGATTTAAGGATGAGTATTCATGCATTTGCTTCTCCTCTTGGCCGTTGAGGAAGGATACAATTCAAGAAAACCAACCTATTTTTAATTCTACAATAACGATTGTAGAATTAAAAAGAGTTCAATTATAAACTTGCCTTCGAGGACAAATTAATGGAACAAAGGTTGTATTTTTTGTCGGGTTTAAAGTCTAAAGCATCTTCATTAGCTATGTTAGGGACTACAACTGTGAGAGCCAAACAGAAAGGCCGCAACTAACAATTATTTTCATTGTTGATTATTCTGCTCATTATTTATTCAATTAATCGATAACTCATCTTGTCTGGGCATTTGTAACTGGTTTCTGTTTTACAATAAAATGTCATCTAATTTCCTGGTTTGTCCAACCAACAGTCCAAACCCCACAAATATTCTATTTGTTGTGATATAAGAACCTGGAACCGTCAAATATTTGCCGTTAATCGATTATCAAAATAGTCAATGTAAATTCATTTTCTGTCGACTAAATGAGTAATCAAAACATTGTTGCAGCTCTTTAACAGAGACATATTTTCTGGGAATAATAAAGTTGTATGATCTTGCTTAGAAATCACATCCTTAAGACAGAATTCCTTTTTATGTTGACCTCCATTATGACAAAATTCCAAGCTTTTGTTTATCTATGTATACTGTATCTCTACACAACGTCGTCTCTTCCTAATTTAAACTCAAAGTTCCTGATTTTCCTAAAGTAAAGTCCTTGTCAATGTTCCTGTTCTCATATACCTGTCTGTCTGTCTGTCTGTCTCTGCAGTATATTTGGCATCTCGCCCATCATTCAGAGCAACTGCTCCTACACATGGAAGCTCATTGTGCACCCGGAGCGTAAGTGGAACCACTTTGTCAATCCCATCATCCTGCTGATTCTCTACTACACCCTGGCCACGCTCATCCGCCTCTGGCTGCAGGAACCCATCGACCAGCTGACGGTGAGGACAGCAGACAGAAAAGCAAAGAAAGCCCACGAGAGTAGACCTTTTTACTTCACAGATTTGTAATAATTTCTCCATACAGGCTCATTATATTAGGTGATTTTGACTGAAAAGCAATCATTGTGATCCATTGTATACCTTGAATATTTAGTGTTTCATGAAGGTGGGGAAACTTTGACTTTATTTAACAAAGGTGTTTTTGAAGATTTGTGATTTACTGTGCAATTGTACGATGCTTTTTCTGTTTCAGCCAACAAAAACAGTTGTTTTGTATTGCTTTAAAATCATTGCGTAAGTGCCTCTGTCTAGATTTTGCAGGGATTCAATCAATCATAGAGAAATAAATATACAGGTGGATGAGGCAGAGCCTCGATAGACAAGTAGGCAATGCAGCCTGAAGACATCCTTTGTGATTTGCCATTCAGTTTTCACTTTCGCTATCTTCAACTCAGCTGAATGCACCAAGTTCACACCTCCTTCTGGGCATTATGCATTATTCTGGAAGATGCAATCATGCAATTAAGTGACCAGACAATCAAATACAAGACAACGAGTTTATCAAAGAGTAAATCACAACTCTTCGTCACAAACAGCTAAAGTAGGGTGGATTTGTATATAATTACCACCCTTAAGCAAAACAGAAAAATTAAATGGACCTAGATTATTGCCTCCAGATAAACTTTTCTTTTTTTCCACTCAAACTGTGTGATTTAACTATTATTTGTGATGTTAAACATGAATGAGTTCCTGCTTGGAGAAAGCTGGATTTGCAGTTCATGTAAATCTTGGTGGGTGCAGGCAGTCAGCCTGAATTTTCGTTGAATTCAACACACACACAACACCTCCATGTGGCTCCTCAGTAAATTCCAGACAGTGAACTGAAATAGAACCAGATTGAATTAAATGGGCAGCCAGGTGGCCTCGTGACCAGAGGAACTGTATTGATGGAAGATTCCAGGACGATCGATCGTTGGCTGGATCTGTCCGCTGGAGCTCAGGTGTTATCTGAGACACTGGTGGTCTAATTCTGACAAAGCGTGAAGCGAGGATGCATCTGGGTACCATGTTCTAGTGTTCCAGTGCTCTACAGGGGTAAATGTTACACATAACATATAACAACACTGGTCCAAATGTGATGACTTATGAAGCCATAAAGCATTTTTGGTAGTTTTGGTACAAAATCTAAAACATGATTTTAGTTAAAACTGGGGTCAGTTGCTTTAAAGTTTTACACTAGAAAGTCGTCTTGACAGGCGCATCAGATTGTAAACTCGGACTCACAAAAGATCTCACACACTGTGGATCACTTGTAGTCAGTTTGATAACAATTCTTAAAGGTAAATTGCATCCTGATGAAGCTCTGAGGACCGAAACATTCAAAAAATAGGACCACATTATTTTCTAAGTCTGTTTTCATACAATATGCAGGTGCTCATATGTACATTGAAACAGATTTTGCTTGCTGTAGTCTTTGCACCTGTTCATTCTGGCAATTAAAAGATCCCCTCCTAACATGCTCCCAAAGGAACAGATGGAGGACAAAATCTACACTCACAAGTTCATCTGAAGTTAGTATGACTTGATGAACTGACTCAATTAGGGAGTTATAATTAAAAGTCAAAATATTTAACTCTGAATAGGGGTGTCACAATATATTGGTATTGACGATAACCTTAGTTTTTAGAAAATAAAATATTGACATCATGATAACGATGCACATAACATTGTATTGTGTCAATAATCCAGCACTTCTTAAATCACACTTTTGTACAGTTATATTTACAGACTCTCTCTCCACCTTCCTACACTATAAAAGAGACAAATCGCACAATTAACAACATACAAATGTAATTTCACTGATAGAATTATAAAAAAAAAAAAAGTTTTAAAATCTGATACCGTGACAGCCCCTGAATGACCACTGCAGTGTCACTTGATTTTGATTGAACTTAAAGGGTCAGTTCACACAAAACAAAACACGGCATCAAACGTATTCATAGGAACTGTTTCTTTGACTTCAGTGTGTTTATTATGTCGAGTAACTGGGACATTGTTTGTTAAAAGACAATTTGCTGTAAACAATATATGTATATTTTAAGATGAATTAATATAATTCCATTCACCTCCACTGTATGGGTGAAACCAAAACTATCTGAATGACTAAATACCAAAATCAGAAAATGTGTTTTGGGTGAACTGACCCTTTAAAAATCTGTTTTATCTCATAACGGATTGGGCCAAGAACTATCTAATGGTTATTGAAGAATTCAGCTTGCAATGAAAGTTCATGTGATGTCGGAAATGTCATGGAGACCCTCACTCCTAAATTCAACCCGTCTTCCTTCATCTCAGACCTCGAGGCTCAGCTCTACTGTCCTGTAATGGAGTTATAGATTAGTGTTTTTATAGAGGGGTCAATACTTCCCTGTAAACCTGCAGGGCTGTATGCATTATTGATCTCTCCACAGAGATGTGTGTGTGTGTGTGTATGTGTACGTTTTCACCTACTCTTACACTTTAGACAACGCTAATAATAAAACATGATTACGACATAAATCATCAGCTGACAGGTTTGTTCGACAGTGAAGATGCCCGATTGTGATTGATCTCATCTTTGCCGAAAAGACAAGAAGAATCTGTACGCTCTGTTACCATTTCTCAATTGATGTTTAATGCTCGAGTTGTAGTTCCATGTGTTTATTCAGCAGTAGTTTGACAATGCAGTAAAAACTGTGAAAACATAATGATTTCATCACATTTATAAAAAAAGTATCTAAAGGAATGAGACGCAAGGAAGCGATATCTGACTGCAGACTGAAAACAAAGAAATGGAAATCACACAACAGTGTCAGCATAATAATTTATTTATAGAGCAAACATTTTAATTGTGCAGTCTGGATTTCATATTGGTTTCATTAACAAATGATTGTTTTCAAATCCCAAGTGTCCAATTGCCATTTTTTTAATCCCTAAAGAAAACATATTCCTCACCAGAACTAGAGACATTTGAACTAGAGACAATATTGCTTTGGATCAAGTTTTTTAGTACAGCATTATTCTGTTTTTCTAACATACTGATGCTCAAAATCCATAAAACAAAGGAAACTGAGAACAAGTGGAATTTTCTTTCCAATGTGAATTTAAGAAGAATAAATAGCCGTTTGTGCAGTTTTATTTTTTGTATTTTTATGATATTTGAGCCACCTGGACACTGCCTGGATGATAGTGTTTGTTGTGAATACAATACAGAAAATCAATGGTAAGAAATACGGTAAAACTACATCATTTCCTCTCTAAAAGGTCACCCATCTCCTCATCAGATAACCACTCCTACACTGTAAAACAGTCTCCAATGGAAGCTGATTAAAACTGGTTCTTGACAGTATCGTCTCAGTTGCACAATAGCGGACTGAGCTCAAAGTCCAGTGGTGAAGATATATATCATCCACACTGTCTATCTTTGCTTTTTCAGGACGACAAGGACGGCGATATGTGCGAGGAGGAAGATCTGGATGGAAACAGAACAAATAACTCCGCCAACAGGAAGAGGCACCTGTGGTGGGAATCCCGCCAATGCACAGATGAGAAAAACGTATGTCAGGGTTGACACATGCAGGACTAACAAAGTATTGATTATTGGACAGGTCATGAAGTAATCATCCTTTGGTTAGGATACCATTGTACAACACATATACACAATCCCATTGTTAAAAAAACAAAACAAACATCAATACATGCTTAAGAATTTATTTTTCTAGGACAACAGCCTTGAAATATAATGAAGATCTGTTGAGAATCTTTCAACAAGCTTGGCTGCTAAAAACCCAAATAACACAACTGAAAACTTGACTTGGAACAAATTGATTCAGCTGTAACATAAGGTTGAACGGAAAAATACTGTAATGTTTTAGTGTAATAATGGTAAAAATAAACATGAAACCTACTTTGTTAAACTGTGAAGTCAAGCTGTTCCATTACATCTTGTTCACCTTCTTAATAGACTCATCCCTGGAAAGATTTCAGCTGGAAATACATACACACACACGCACACATTCTGACCTTGTTCCCATATCAAGGTCCGTAGTCTGTCTCCACCGGCCACCTCCTGAGGTTTAAAAGCTTTTAGGGTGTGCAGACACACAGATGAGTGATGGGCTCGATTTACAGAGTAGTGCTGCTCGACTTTGTTCCTGCTTATCAGCGACTATAAAGAACAAGGAGGCCTTTGACTTCAGCAGCTCATCGATAACGCACCTTGCCTTGTATGCTCTTTTCTCTTCCTAGCTCCTCTCCACCCTGGATGGCTACAGTACAACTGAGGTGGGGGCTGCTTTGGATGTGTCTTAAATCTGTGCATCTTACCCCCCCTTCAACCCTCAGTCCTGCTGCAAGAAAATAAATCACTGCAAAGTGCTTTTCACACTGCACCCTCATAGAACAGAGTTATCCTGTGTTTCAAAGTTCATGTTTAGCTCCTTTTTCCACTGTGTCTGTCGGCCCAGAAGCACTGTATAGACTGCAGTACACCTCAGTTGTCACGCTGTCATCAAAAAGCCACTGCGCTCAAGGGCCTTTGAGTTGGCAACATGGAAGATGTATAAAAAGCTGTTTGTGACGTTTAAAGTTGTGCAGGGATGACGTATTTTTTAGGGCAACCTGGAAGTTTGCATCGCACTGGTTCCCCCGACAAAAAGCCAGTGGGACTTTTGCTTTGGATTATTGCTGAAAATACGCTCTGTGGCAAACAAACGTTCATAATACTTACACACTTTTTTCAGCGAGATAACCTTCACAAATGAACACCACTTTTATAATTTTTGAAATCTAAATGCAATCGTCAGAGGTAAAAAGCTAACTTTAGACTGGAAACGAACTACACAAGGGTCACATGACTTTATGTCACCACCACGAAGCTAAAGGCGGACTAGTGTTGTGCCGAGATGAAAGAATGTGCAGTGTGAAAAGTAGAAGAAATCCCTGTACTGCCCTACAAAGCCAAAATGTGGTAACTAAGCTGCCAACAACCTAACTGAAACTAACAAAAAGCCACATCTGCAATCTGCTTATTTTTGGCAAATGAATAAAATATCCAGCTGGGGAATGATTTGATTACACAAAAGCAGTTATATGTTTGCGTTTGTGGGGCAGGAAGCAGTACAGTAGTGTGATCCCATAACAAACCTGTTCCTCAGTTACTTTTTTATTGTAATTTGTGATGACGATCTACAGGCTGTGCCCACCTCAAATGGGACGTCCTTTGACTTTGTCACAACGGATAATGGACCAGTCTGTGTGGACTTGTATTCCACCCCTCAGTATAAAATGGACCAGCCCAGCGACGTAACAGGTGAGCTGTTTACCGCCTGCGTCTTCTCTCTAAATGTCCTTGAAAAGATCAAACTGAATGAAACGAATATTAACAACAACACATATTTACTTTTAATCCAGTTGACAACCTAACATAGTGGTTGAGACAAACTGTGAGACACATGTTTAGAAACAACTTCTAAAACCAGATTGATAAAACTCACATTTTGTCAGCAACTTTTTCCAAAATGAGGCACAAGGGCTATCTCAATAATGAAACAGAGTACCGTAACTATTCTAACAGTGAGTTGTGTGTCTGTCTCCATCCAGAGAAGAAGGAAGAGTGTGTGTACGAGGTGCGTTTTCCCCTGGAGGATTCTGCGTTTGAGGAAGGAGAGGAGAAGTCTGAGGGAGGAGAGGATGGGATAAAGGAGAGAGGAGTCAGTGCGATGGTCAAAATCTTCCACTTCATCTTGAAACAGAGCTATATCTGTGCTCTCATAGCCATGATGGTGAGTAATGCAGCCCGCAGATGGTGAAACCTGGGAGCCACAGAAACTGGCTTATGCTGCATTTGTGTCGTGTATTTGGATGTCTGAAAGGAAATGATCTTTTGTATTTTACCTTCATTAGCCCTTCATCAACAGCAGAGTTTTAGCATTTATCTTAAGTGTTCTGTGATTTGTTCTCCTCAGGCGTGGAGCATCACATACGTCAGCTGGCTGACGTTTGTCTTCCTCATCTGGTCTTGCACGCTGTGGATGGTGAGGGACAGGAGGCGTTACGCCATGCTGTCCTCTCCCTTCATGGTGGCCTACGGCAACCTGGTGATAGTCCTGCAGTACATTTGGAGTTTTGAGATCATAGATCATTCCAAATTCCCCGGGTTCTTTGTCAAGAAGGACAACGCTTTCCACTCACTTTCATCCAAGGTTTGGGACTTAAACACAAAGCATTTTCTCAATTTTGACATTGCCATGTCTTTCTGTCTACTATAAATCAATGAAATTATTTAAACGGACCTTTAGATTGAGTGACAACCTGTGATCTGTAATATGTGCAAGGACTTCTGATGCAACAGATGTACTCTGTATGCAGCTAATGGAATATACTGTCAAACTGTGTCTCTATTATAGTCAATTAATTCATTATTTCTGAATGGCTCAAAGACCTTACTGTGTCTAGATTTTATACACCAGTTGATCCCCACAGACTTGCAATGGTGTGTTTATTATGACTCGTACTACAGATGTATTCATCTACTACTTCTACTTCATACCTGGGTCAAATTGTTTTTTAAAGTTCGTTTTAACTGTTCGATGAATGCAACATGTGCTGGAAAGTTTGGAAACTCACCCATATTCTGTTCAAGTAAATGTAAATGATTTCTTAGTTCATCTTTGCTGTTTGTCTAAACATTTTATTTATTCTGTGTAGGTCCTCTGTCTGCTAAGCTTCTGGCTGCTGCTAAGACAAACGCTTACAGAAAGAGAGGAGAAACTAAAGGATGACAGCGCTGGTCTCTCAGATGTTCATGTGGATAATCAGAAGAAGAAGGGTAAGCCCTGGGCTCTTATTTTATTTCGATTATAGTAGAAATAATATAGGTCACAGTATAAGCTGCTAGCACCGCCAATACGTGTGAAAAGATACTAACCAAAGAGTGACGGTTAGTTTTCTCTTTTTTTTTTATCACTTTAATTTTTATTACGTTTTCAACTCTTGACAGAACATCATGAGCATCCATCCAACACATCACCAAACAATACAACATTTGAACAAATACAACAAAAGCAGTTGACAAGGCAGTTCAGACATGTAAACCTTCTCATTTATTTCATAACTAGTTTCGTCACTTGTTGGCATCATGTTTCATGTAAATGATCAATTTGTTGCAGCTCATGTCAAAGATATTGCCTTTTAATTTTGAGTGGGTATGTCTGCTTTTTCATCGAATAGGTATCCCGGACAATCTCAAACCATTGTTTTTTCCCCGCAGGTTGTAACAACAAATGTGGTTTAATACTACAGTTCTCAAAATCCTGGTACCTGTGAAAACAAACTATTGATGTTTTAATAAAGAAGACAGGCAATAATTGTCCTTTTTCCTTCACTCAGTGAGCAATTGTGATCTGTGAGTCTGTGAAAGTAGTCGGTGCAAAGTTTTGTGATTCGCTGCTGTGTTTTATAGAGGAAGAGGACTCTGAGGAGGGAGGGGAGCAGGACATCATGCAGGTTCTGGGCAGCATGGTCATGGCTCTGCTGGTGAAATACTGGATCTACATCTGTGGTGGCATGTTCTTCTTCGTCAGCTTCGAGGGAACAATCGTCATGTACAAGATCATCTACATGATGATGTTCCTCTCCTGTGTGGCGCTCTACCAGGTAACAAAACACCTGTGATTGTGATAGCCTTGTACACATACTTTATGTAGCTACATATTACCAATCTCAAATTCCCCCTCAGTTATCTCAATATTTTAAAAAAATGTTCACATTCTTTAAATTTGTTCTTCTGTATCTTCTTAGTCAAGCGCATGATTGAAGACACACACAATGTTGACGGAAATCTTACCACTTTTTATGGCTGCTCTGATGTGTCAAACCTATGCACATCTAAAAATGCACAGTACCTATTTATTAACAATTCAGACAGACATATTTTGTATCTATGGAATATTTTGGGTCTTGACTTTTAATAACATTGAATAAATGAATCTTTATTTTCACAAATCTCCAGACTAAAAACGTTTGACCTCTTTTGCTTATAGCACTTTGAAACCAAATTGGATGCATTCAAAATGTACTTTCATCCTTTAAATGCTGTTTACTAAGTGATACTGTGTTTATTCCAAACTTAGCATATGGGTAGGGTAAATCCCTATCCAATGCACTGACTAGACAGTTCTCCAGTTGATAATGCTGGTAAATATAGCGTTGTATCATCTGCATACATAACTGCTCTTGCTTGATTGAGAACAAGAGGAAGGTTTTTGGTGAATAAAGAAAATAGTAATGGTCCCAACCAGCTTCCTTGTGGTACACCACATCGTAACTCCTTCACATTTGGGAAACTATCATTATGAAATACATATTATAATATTTATTCCTGTTAGAAAAATAATTGTTGCCATAGTAAACTGAATCCAGATGTCCTCTGTTCTGTTTGATTCATTCAATGGATTGTAGCTGTTAATGTCAGATAATTTGTAACCCCTGAAATGCAATCATCTCAATTATTCTTATCTAGGTGCACTATGAGTGGTGGCGAAGGATCCTGAAGTACTTCTGGATGTCGGTGGTGATGTACACCATGCTGGTCCTCATCCTGGTCTACACCTACCAGTTTGAGAGCAATACCTTCTGGAACAAAACATTGAATATGACCCAAGACAGGTGAGCTTCTCTGAATCACCTGCATTATAGGAATACAGATTTTTTTTTACGTAATAATAAAGTGCAGTTACATTTGTTGATGAAAGTTCAGGGAGTTTTAAATACTGGTAGTTACAGAAGCCCTGAGAAGAAAGTGAGATCCATTTTTAAGTCTGATCCATTTTTAAGTCTGATCCAAACAGTTTTCTCCCCGGTGTCTATGACATCAGAACAGGTGAAAATTAATTTGGCAGGTGAAAACACATTTGTTTTCGTTGGGATAATTTGTTTGTTGTTGTAGTACTCATTTTAGCCACAAGAGGCTGAGGTGCACCACTACCTAATGTGCTGAATAAGACTAAAAGCATTCATATTTTCTTCCAGGTGAGTTTTAATTTGCCCATGCAGTCTAAAAACAAGGAACATAATATTGTTTGTTATGCAAGTCATGACTTCTCTTGGCTAGAATGTAGTTTAATCAGCATTGATGTGCTGTTAGGGAAAACATTAATGCTTTTAGTCCGATTAAGAAAATGGGGTAGCGGTGCACCTTCGCCTTTTGTGGCCGAAATAAGTATTACAACAGCAAACACACCTTTTTTTTACCTATTGTCAAAGATGGAAAAAAGTGACTGAGAAAAATGATCCTGGCTTTGTTTTTCACACCTGTTTCACAGAAATTTTACTGCGGAACTTAAAAAGATTATCCTGGCAAAACCTTTTTTTCACTTGTTCTTTAGTCAAAAACACAGGATAGAAAATTGGACCAGACTTAGCAAATGGATAACCAGAATTCCTTCTTTTTGTCATCTGCCTCTCAGGTAGTTGCTCCGACACACAACATTTTCAAGACTCTCCCCTGCAGTCAGATGAAAATGCTCAATGTTTGAATGTTTGACTTGAAGAAGAGCTTGATAGTTTAAAAACATTTTTACTGAACATGCCTATGTTTTTTTTTAGCAATTGAGAACAGAAACATGCAACATTGAAAAACACTTACATTGTACAGTTACAATTTGTTCAAGGGAATGTGTGATAGTATATTGCTATAATGATATTACATAAACCATAACTGTATAACAACCAGCAATGACAGAATAGCATTTCATTGCCTTTCTTACCTTTTGATTATTAAAAAAATCTATTGACCTTCTTTTGTTCACCTCACTCACAGGTACCTCATAAAAAGATGTGAGCTCAAGTCTCAAGTTTTTCCTCTTTTTTTTCCCATCCCAGCTTGAAAGACCTGGGCCTGGAGAGGTTTAGTGTCGCCATGCTGTTTACCAGGATTTTCATTCCCACGTCTTTCCTGTTGGTGTGTATTCTCCACCTGCACTACTTCCACGACCGCTTCCTCCAGCTCACCGATCTCCAGGCTGTAGTGGCCAAAGAGGAGAGCACTATCTACAGGTGAGACACGTTCTGTTTGTTGTCTTTGGTTCAAACCATAATTGAGAAGTTTACTTTTTGTTCTTTTTTTTATCTGGTTTGGGTAAATTCATACAGCTGAATTACAAACTGCATAACAACAAAAGGTTGTTCATAAACAACCAGATCTAATGACTTTACTTTTTGCTTAGCAAAGTTTGTTTACAGTCTTTGGTGTTAAAAATCCTGAGAAACAGGCATTTGAACTTCAGTAACTTGTCGGCTATTTGTTCGTCCCTTGCTGTCTATTATGATGTCACATCCTGTTTCAAAATTAAATACATCATATTGAGGAAGTAATATATTATTTCATTGGATCTTTAAAAACATACAGCTGAATATGGACCAGACTACAGTTATCCATTGGTTATGTTTGTATTGTAAGGCACTTTAAAGGGACAGTTCACCCCAAAATAAATGTTCCTCTTACCTGTAGTGCTTTTTATCAATCTAGGTTGTTTTGGTATTGTTTCGCCAAATATTAGAGATATCGGCCGTAAAGATGTCTGCCTTCTCTTGAATATAATGAAGCTAAATGGCACTCGGCTTGTGGTGCTCAAAGCGTAAAAAAAAAAAACATTTGTAAAACTCAACAGCAATGGCTCTTACCAGGAATCATGACCGAGTTACTCGAGATAATCCAGAAGACCTTGTTGTGAGCAGTTTCATGTCAGCACTATTTTCAATTTTCGAACTACACCTGCCAACAGTATCGCCGTGAAGAAGGAAGCGTGCATCTACTCGTCGACAAGAGGCTCATGCTCTTGACAGCGATGTAAACATGAATGGCGTCCACCTCGGCTGAGCTGTAACGTTAACTAGCTCAGTGGTGCTTGGTGAGCTAGCAGTATCAAGTATAGATGCACTGCGTCAAGAAATGTAATACACTGCAAAAAGTCAGCTCTCAAAAACAAGAAAAAAAAGAGGAATTGAATAAAGCAAAATTATCTGCCAACAGTACAGGAACATTTCACTTGCCAAGATTTTTTAAAACAAGTAAAAATATGTAGTTTTTAATAATCCACAGATATCCTAAAACTAGTGCGGCCAGACTAAAAACAAGTACATTTGTCTGGATACAAAGAAAAGATTGAAGATGTATTTTCTCAATATGTAGGAAAATGTGAGAAGCATGCAAACTGAATCAGCACATGATAAAACTGAACGCTGATAAACAGTAATACTGAAGAATGCCCCTTACTCAAGAATACTTACTGACAATGTATGCATGATAACAGACCTTAGTTGAGCGTGAGGTGAAAACATTCATCCCTTTTCATCTCGTACTGTTCTGGATAATCACACTTAACACACCCTGTTAAACACCCATTATAACCACTGTTCTCATCGCACATCTGTCGTTGTGTGCTTTGTTGTGCTCTCCGTGTTAGAACACTCAAATTTCCACGGTCTGTGTTGTGGTGTGTGTTTAACTTTATGGCGGTGTTGTTGCGGATTTTCCATTGTTTTTGCTGCTGCTTGCTTAGCTCGTCTCTGCTCTGCTGCTCTCTGTGACCTGCTGCCATCTCTCCTCTGCCACCCTTTCCACACAGCCACGCTAAAGTCAATGGTCGTGTCTATTTGATCATGAATAGGTGGGTATCTGCTCGCTTTCTGTGGCATCCCTCACCATCCCAGTTCACCTCTGAGCCTCGACTTCCTCTTCCTGTTGTAATACATCCATATCCCCCCACGCCGACTTGTCTTACCCTAATTTTGCCAATGATGATACATTGATGATCTTCTGAAATATCTTACTCCAGGAGTTTAGGTATTTGACTGACATGAATGCTGTTCGTTTTCAGGTTTTCCGTATTATTATTTTGCCTGTAGCCTTCTCTTTTTGGGTTCACTATTATCTTTCTAGATCTTTAACACCCCTCCAAACCCAGCCCAGCCTTTTTCCACCATAAAACCCTTCCACTTCTCTCTAAGAGTTTCACAGACTGTCAAACAAGCATGTTTGAATTTTAAAGAACTGTTCTTCCCTTCCAGTATCTTGCCACACACCCACCTCTCTGCACTGACTCCCAGAAACTTTACCCCCCCCTCCTGAAAAAGCTCGCCTACCCCAAACCACAGGAGCCTTTTGGCCAGTTGTCATGCATTTGAATAAATGTGGATATTTTCAAGTGTCAGTGTCAGCCTGCCTTTGTCGGTGTCTCTCCCCTCTGTTCATCTTGACTTCTGTGTAACTTTATTGTTCTGAGCAGCATCAAGCAAAAAATTCCCACCCAACAGAGCAAGTAAGTGTGACCACTGGATAACGAAAAATGTTTGCCTTGATATGCGGCCGGTTCATGCAAGCCAAACCTGACCTTTGACCTTTCCCCATTGCCTGAGAAGAATTTAAAGGGTTAATGACTCCCTTCAGATGCTACCATTATTCTGCTGCAAGAAGAAAAAATCCTCAAAATCAACCAACATAGATTGTTTTAACGAATGCAGAAGGAATGTGCACTGCTTATTGATCGGTTTCATGCCTGATGAAATGCTGCTCTGTTGTTCAGTGAGTGGACGCAGATGGTGATTCCCATCTAAACATTTGCATCAGAGCCTTTTGACAATTGCCTGGAGTCATATGTATGAATTTGTGTTGCATTTATATACTTATGAGGACAGAATGCCTTCAAAAGATAGGAATGTGAGTAAACTAGACATGATAAATTATGTGGAAACAATAGGTGGATTATTTTCCCTGCCTTGATTTCTTAAATTGCTGCGAGCATTAAGATCAGATTCAGATTACTTTCTAATAGGTTAAAGTTAAGGTCACTTTAGTTGGAGTATTCTTGTTTTTAGCATGTTTTTAAGTCTGAATAATAATGGAGTAGGTCACATTTTCACATGTAAAAAAATCTTCTAAAAAAAATAGCTCAAAACCTAACTTAGATATTTTAAAATTGATGACAGGGTCAGATGTTTATAGACAATAAGTATAAAATATTTTCCTACCCAAGGCCGACTACGAATGCATCCCCATGTTCCATGATCGTGTGGCAGCTATTGAGCCTTTCATCAAGTGCAGACCACATTTTAATGATATGACGCCTTGACTCCTCTTTTTAGCCTTCTTGACTAAGTTTAGGAAGTAGTCCTAAAGTTAGAAATTAGAAGGCATCGCCAACACCAATCATTGCACCAGTTCTGATTTTATTTAATTTGTTACTGGAAGAGTGTCTGATTTGATCGAAGCCTCCAAAAAAGGCTTCTAAATGGACCTGTGTGGTGAGACTTTGGTCGACTGCTACTTCCAAAATTTCCAAATATTGCCCCCTAAAGAAAGACTCCTAAAAATACACCACAATAGAACATCAGGTCATTTAAGGTCCTCATAAGTATAGAGATACCGATGTGTGTGCGAGTCAGCATACATGTGTCTGTAATAACTTATTCGCATGTGTTCAGACTGGTGCACCAGGATGGCAGCTTGGCAGACCTCACCATGCTCAGCGCCAACTCAGTGGACACCACGCTGTCCAGAGAGGAACAGGAGAAGCAGGAGGAGCAGGCCCTGGTGGTGATGATGTATGACACTGACATGACTGGCGAGAAGCCCAGGAGTATCTCTGACCCGCGGCAGTCCAGCACAGACGAGAGCCAACCCTGCAGCACGGGGACGGAGCCAGAGCCGAGCACCGAGCAGAGCTCAGGTACTGAGCAGCTGCAACACAGCAGGTCCACAAACTCCAACAAGACACTGAATATACAGTGAATCATGTTAGGGCTGCAACTCACTATTATTTTATTCATAAGTTAATGTGTTGAGTATTGTCTTTGTTAATCAGACCATCTATTAATATCTCATAGACAAGACATCAGTTTGATACTAACGTTTAGAACTTTTATTTACGGCAAAGAGTGGCATTTAAAGCTACAGTGTTTAACTTGCTCATCCTACCTTCCTCCTCATCAGTTCATATAAAGTCGTGCCCAAAACCAAGATGGTGAATGAAGCCAGACTGGATTAACAAAAACACAATACTCAACTTGTGCATTGTTGTTTTTGAATGGGAACCTGCTGCACTTTTAGCTTTGCTGTCTGAGTGGTGACTGAGCTTTCTGGGATAAAAAAAACAATCAAATGATGTCCTTCAATGCGGTACTATACTAATTAGTGTACCTTTTACGATAGCATTATCGTACAAAGCTGGATTAAAATGCTTTTTACCATTTCTGACATGGGCGTCATGGAAACTGCTACACAAGTGCTTGTTAAATTCATATGATAATAAAAATGCTCATCTAGAGGCTGTGTTGCTGATCACGTTTCAGACTTGTATTTAAATACTTCAGCATCTCATGTGTTTCCCTCCAAAGTACATTAAAACCATGTTTCTCCTCTCGCTGTGTTTACAGCGGAGGCTCGCGTGTGCTGTTCTGTAGCAGCTACAGAGCACTTTTAGTCATGAGCACAGAGACCTTTTCTCTCAGATCCCTCTCAGCCTGCAGCGCTTTAGTCTGCTGAAAAGACATATGTTGCATACAGTCTTTAAAGGCCAAAGCTTTCTGAGAGAAGCTCAGCTTGCTGTCCAAGTATCTGCTGCCTGCACTCTCCCCAGCCAGCCATTAATCATCCTGTGTAAAGCTGTACAAATCTGTTGTATTGAAGATTTTTGGGTTCAGTAAGATTTACTTCTGGTTGTCTGTTCTGTCTCAGAGTGTAGCTCAAGTGGTCACTTTCACCCATTACATCGTCCTGCTGTAGCCAACTAACGCAGCACTATTAGCATATTTACGCGTACAGTCACACTGGTCTTAAATTGAAATGTTGTTTATATACACAGAAAATAAAATAGGTGATAAAACGCAATGCTGCAGGGCCTCTCAGTTTATAATGAGCTGCACGCTATATGAGCTATATGCCCTCACAGAGGTTTCTTATCCAAACAATGGAGCCTCTATTAAAACCTAAGATTCTGTGAAAACATACACCCACCAAACTGTGGCTGGAGGTTTTATATCCTTTGTGAGAATATAAAACCAAATATTAGGTTGTCATTCTCGGGTAATTAAAGCAACAATTTCGAATGTGCTTGTTAATACAGATTTTAGCCATGCTTTTATACATCTTGACACAATGCATACCGGGAAAATATTACATTAACAGTCAGTATATGTAAAACACATGTTCAGCTGCTAAGTTGACCCCATAAAATGGTTTACATATTGAAATTTCTCTTTCACATGATAACATCTTCACTGATTTGCATGTTTGCTGGATGGATTTTAATGTGAATACCACTTGTGAATCAGAGATTTATTATTCATATTAATATAATTATTTGTAGGGCTGCAACTAATGATTATTTGCATCATCAAATAATGTACAGATTAATTCTTGATTAATAATTGTTTGGCTTTTAAAATGTTTAAAACGTTTTTGGTTTTAGACGATTAATTGTTATCTTTTGATGGAAAAATATAAATATAAAGAATATAAAGATATACATATAAATATATAATGGTGATAAAGAAAATTAGACTAGAAAAAAAGAATCGAAAATATATGTGCCTGATTATCTAAAAGATGTTCAATGTCACGGCTGAATATTTAGTGAATGCTGTATTGTCCACATTAGTTACGACACAAAAAAGAGAATCATATTATCAGTCTGCTCCAGCTTGAGTTGGTGTTTGAGAAGACATCAAAGCAAAATGCCGGTAAAGGGATAATGGTGTTCAAACTGAGGACGTACTGCTGTAATTAAAATATAAAACACTTTCCATTTGCACTTCTTCAGTGCTTCTGTTTTTCCATTTAAGTGTATCTGTTTTTTTTTTATCTCTGCTTCTTCAGATCTGAAGAATAAATGGCACCTGGTGGTTGACCGTCTGACTGTGCTCTTCCTCAAGTTCCTGGAGTATTTCCACAAACTGCAGCTGTTCATCTGGTGGTTACTGGAGATCCACATCATCAAGATTGTGTCCTGCTACATTGTCCTGGTCTCCGTCAAAGAGGTACGAAAGCTTGAGGTTACAATGTGGAACGAGGATCAATATCTGCAACAAGAGGGAATCACACTATCAATCGATTTGATTGACTGCTCAGCTTCTCGGAAGTGTGCATGTCATCCCACGTGTTGTATAAGGCTTCCAGATGGTCCTGCAATTCATATTCTTGGTCTTGATTCTACCGAATGATATATCGTTAACTGTTTTTTTAAACTCCCAAGTATCGGCCTCAAAAATCCGGTGTCTTGCTTGATTTTCTTGCTCATACACTCTATAAAATAACTTGGCCTCTTGCAACACTGTGCCAACTTGAACCAATTTTAAATAAACCAGGATTTTCTGTTACATCGCAGACTCGCCAGATAATAGTCTGGGGGTATTGGGGCGAACTGTAATAGCTGTTTTCTTGCAATCAGGGCTCTTTGAGTTTGGCACAAACTGACGGAGAGGTTTAGTCTGGATAAGCTGCGAAGGCTTTTAGATTCTTATTAAAACTCACTTTTATGGATTTAGATTAATGTAATGTCATGATATTTTATTTATGGTTCTTGACCTATTTCATTTGCTTCACAGTATTCTTCACTTTACATAAAAGTGTTTAGAAACTTGTAACACAAAATAGGAATAATACTAGTTGTTGTAGTTGGATGAGGATGAAGAAAAAGAGAATGTCAGTGGAAATGTAATTCATGTGAGCTGTTTTTTCTGTCCTCATCGCCTATATTGTCTCCTGTGCAGGTGTCTTTGTTCAACTATGTGTTCCTGGCATCCTGGGCCTTTGCACTGCCCTTCTGCCAGTATCGTACCCTTGCCTCCAATGTTTGCACTGTCTGGACGTGTGTCATCATCGTATGTAAAATGTTGTACCAGCTGACGTCTATAGACCACCTTACCTACTCGAAGACCTGCTCTATGGTGAATATAGTCAGAACATGCTCCTTGACCCTCGTTGTAGACGCTACATACTGCTAAATGTTATCTGTACTATCCTTAGTTGAAGTAATATTATATTTCTATTACAGTCATACACTTATATTTTCTGTCCACAGCCATTAAACTACTCAGCGGTCCAGATTAATGAGATGAAGGAGTCTCTGCTGTATAAAGCACCAGTGGATCCAGCCAACTGGGTCGGCCTGGAGAAGTCTGATGACCTTCTGGGCTATCTCAGGGTGAGGAGTGGAAACTTTCCTCAGCTGAACGTTTGCAGCATACACATAATATCACAGCAGGGGAAGAACAATTCATGAAACTATGATTTTAAAAAAAAAAAAGGGAATTTGTCAAAGGAATAGTAAATTTGTTCTCTGGAGCCAGCAGCTGGTTAGCTTAGCACAAAGACTGGAAACAGGGAGAAACAGCTAGTCTGGCTCCATCCAAAGGTAATAAAATCTGCCTATCGGCATCTCTAAAGCTCACTAAATAACAAGTTATATCTTGTTTGTTTAATCCGCGCAAAAACCGAAGTGTAAAAATGTCAATTAGTTTTTTTACAGGGTGGTTGTGACTCCAGGAAGTCACGGCTCCTTCAACAGTCGCAAAACAAGTATTTTCTTTATCAACAGGGCCTCAAATGTTACGTTAAAGGAATACTTCACCCCCAAAATGATCATTTGTACATCAATTACTCACCCTGTGTTTCACTGAATGATTGATGTTAAGATAAAGAGCACGTCTGATGAACTTGAGTTACAGTACGTTTAAACTTTTGGGTATAAAATGTCAGAAAATATGACAAATTTCCATCACAAGTTGCCAGAAATTAAATAGGAAAAAAAACGCTTTTAAGTCTTTTTTTTGTCTTTTTTAGATAAATGACCAATCGGTTATTAAAATGTGTTTTAGTCAATACATATTTAATACATACATAATACATATTTAATGATATTCTCCATCTGTGCAGAACAACCTCTTGATGCTGGCTCTGTTGGCATTCGAGGTGACCATTTATCGCCATCAGAAATACTTCAGACTGAGAAACAAACTGTCGCCTCCCGCTGCCAGGATTATCTTCCATGACATCACACGGCAGCATCTGGACATCGGCATCATCAGCTTCATCAAATACTTCATCAACTACTTCTTCTACAAGTTTGGACTTGAGGTCGAGACAAGTGAAAAGAGCTAAAAAAAATGGATGATTTTCTCTGAAAACATCACTTCATGTTTGTATTCCTTGTGTTTCTCTCAGACGTGCCTGCTGTTGGGGGTCAATGTTATCGGGCAGCGTATGGACTTCTTCGCCATGCTTCACGCCTTCGCCTTGATCACAGTCATGTATAGACGCAGGAGGAAAGCCATCGCTGAGATCTGGCCCAAGTACTGCTTCTTCCTGGCCTGCATGCTGACCTTCCAGTACTTTATCTGCATCGGGATCCCACCAGCAGCCTGTAAAGGTTTGTGTGACCAACTCGGCCAGTTTGTACTTATTGCTATGATTTCAAGCCCCAATCAACAACTATTGTCATCATTGATTAATCTAGAATTCATTTATATAATCAATACATCATCTAGTGTATAAAATGTCAGAAATTAGTATCAAATGCTCATTTCAAGTTCCCTAAGACGTCTTTGAATTTCTTGTTTTGTTGGATTTATAGTCCCAAACCCATAATATTGAAAGCTGACAATGACAAACATTTAATATTTGAATAGATTATCCAAAGGTTTTTCAGTTAATGTTATTAACTGTCTGTTATTATGTCCCCAGACTCAACATCATCTACTGTATGTATTACTTTAAATTATGTTGTCGGAGCAAAATATGTTTAATCACAAAATGCATATCTGTGTAAACTTAGACATCTTGGCCCAGAAGAACATTGAGAACCTAAATTGTTTCAAAAATTACAAAAATACATCGTACAAGAATTAAAGCTGTTGCTCCTCTGTGTTTTTGATCTTTTATTTGTTACCACGTCAAGACTCTTCTCAGCCTGGTCTCCTAAAAACTGCATCGTCAATTGCGTTTCGAGGGAACGTACTTTTTCCCAGATTACGTTTGTATTTGACGTATCACAAATACGTTAAATCAAAGTCTGCGTAAGTCCACGTAGAAAGGAGGTTGAGTTGGATAGCAGTGGATAGATGGGTCGAACAAACACAGGACTTTTAAACAGGAACTGTTTTTTGTGTCTCGTGTGAAACCAAATATAATACACTTATTTTAACCGAAAACATGATCTTTTACTAAATTTACCCAAGTGGTTTTGTTGCCTAAACCTAAACCTAATTGAGAATTGGTAAAAGTGTCACGATAACACTGATATACACGTACGTAGAAATGTTGATATGAAATGTGGTTTTGGTTTAGACACGTCCAGATTCAACATATCCGTAGTTGTAGAATTGTACAATTTTATTATGGCGTCTGGGTTGCTGCTTTTTTCATTCCTGTGCTCCACAATAGACCTGACCTTTTTATGGTGTTTTCATATAAATGTATGTCCAATGATAATGGTGCATGTTTTCATTTCAGACTATCCCTGGAGGTTTCCCACCTCTTCTACAGAATCCAATGTGGTCAAGTGGCTCTATATTCCAGATTTCCTGACCCAACCCAATCCATCGTTCCTCATCTGTATGTTTTCCAATTAACATGTATTTGGTGGTTGTTATACTGATGATTGTTTTTAGTATTGGCAAGATTTTTGCTCAGCACAAGTTGGATTTCTCCTCTCTTCTTTTCTAGATGACTTCATGTTGCTGCTGTGTGCCTCTCTCCAGAGGCAGGTCTTTGATGATGAAAACAAGGCGGCAGTTCGCATCATGGCTGGAGACAACGTGGAGATCTGCAGAGACCTGGACGCAGCCTCTTTCAGCGTCCACAACCCCGTCCCCGACTTCATCCACTGCAGGTACAGCAACTTACACTAAAGTTATGCTAGTATTACACTGCAGCAAAAAAGGGCCCGGTAATGTTAAAAAAAAAAAAAAAAAAGCATACAGCAAATGGCACTGAATCCCAGAGTACATTAGATTTTACAGTAGACTCACTTGAATTATAACAGATATAATTTTGGTGCCATTGGAGCTCGGCATTAAAATGGAGGACAACAGGACACAGAAATGGAAAGGAAGTGAAGTAGCCAGCTTAATTGATGCTTAATGATGTTAGATGCCTACAATTAAGTCAACAGCGAAATGATCAAAACAAGCAGCACTATTAAAAACTGTTTATATTTGTATCACGTATGGGTTACATCCCACAATATGGAGCAGCAGTTTGGATTCAAGCATGAAGTCTTGTAGTGTCTACGTAGAGTTAAAGCTTTGGTTATACCTTTTTAAGAATAAAACATTAACTTTTACCATTGTTGTGATATAGTGTAGATATTCCTGTTTAGGTCCATGGTTTACTGGATAGTACACAGGTATGTAGTTGTAATGCAGCAAAGGGAATTCATTATTTTAAAACCACCCTTGGTAGATGTTAAAGACCTGGGTATTCGGTATTTGACGCCCTGGGAATGAGAACGGACTGGTTTGCCAAATTAGCATAAAAGGTGGCCAAGTGGCCAACAAATCAATTAATGCATGTTCAAAACAAAAAGGGTGCCGCTATTGTGCCAAGTTACCGAGTAGAGCTTTGAATTCAGCAATGGGCTAAAAGGCAGTGGAGCAGGCCGGTAACAGATGGTTGCAGGTTTCAGATTTAGAAACGTAAAACAAAGGTGTCATTCTCAGCAACAACCACTGAGGTACAGTTCAGTAAGACGCTTGCTTGCTTTGCACCCCGGCCTGTCCAGTCGAGCTGCTCAGAGGCCAACTCAGTAGAAAACTGTTGTTGTACTTGGCAGCTAACTGTGTAACTGTAGAAAGTGGAGTGGTGCTGAATAAGAACATACTCGCTCAGCAAAGCCTTATCCTAGATAAATAAAGGTAAGACAGATGACAGTAGCTTAGTGAGAGATGTTATTGAATACCCAGCGTATATACATAATTCTGAATTTTGGCTGTCGTCCAATATTTTAATCTAGAGCTAGATACTGATTGTGCACATGAAAGATAGTGAAGAGAGGGTTTTGAGAGGCAAGGAAATACAGAGCGAGTAAGAAAGACAGCGAGAGCATCCTGACCTGTCCACAGTCATTGATTATGTGCTCTTCACATTCCACTGTTTTGATGTGCAAAGTGGACAAGTCTTTTATTAACGCACTCTGTGTCCATCAACAAGCCCTAGTAGAAAGAAAGAGAGCTGTACAGCCCGTCTGTCCACGCCACAGCAGCTCTGCACTTATTCCATCGTTTCCCTCCAGGATCGAATTACGGATATG